CTACGTGTACATCAGTATTGGTTCGAGTTGTAGCCCACTATATTTGTATTCTATTATCACTTACCTTCATGAGTACGCGGAATATTTTCCATTTTTATCAATTTTTAGGCAACAAACGTATGAAAAACGCGTACATGAAAATTGTGCGACAGTGTTGTGAACTGCTAACAGACAGCACACATTAAGCATCACTTAAATAAGTTCTATTCGTTATCGATAACAGCTCGTTTGGCGCTGTTAATTAATAAACGGACTTAGTTCAAAATATGGCGCAATTTTCTCGGTTAATATGAAAACTTTGTGCAATAAAATGTTATACGTGCTTTTAAACACATACTCATTTACCTTGGCCTAGTTTTTAAAATATTTACGAATATCGACTGCTGTTTAGGCAAACATTTTTAGCCGCTGTTAATAACATGTTATCTCACTGTTACGCTAACAGTCGAGCGACGCACGTGTTTAGACTTTGTTGTTTTTCGTTTGTGCGTGTTTATCTTTCGAAAGCAAAATGTTGGCCAAAAAACAGAAAGTTGATGAGCAGCCTAAACAGATGGTGTCCACGCCACAAACACTGCAAGCACGCCTCATATCCGACACAGGCGAGGAGGCGGGACCGCCCATAGATCTGCCAGCGGGCATCACAACACAACAGCTGGGCCTCATCTGCAATGCGCTGCTCAAGAATGAAGAGGCGACGCCTTATCTGTTCTTCGTGGGCGAGGATGAGATCAAAAAGTCGCTGGAGGACACGCTGGATTTGAGCAGCGTGGACACGGAGAATGTCATTGATATTGTCTATCAGCCACAGGCCGTTTTCAAAGTGCGCCCGGTGACGCGCTGCACCAGCTCCATGCCGGGTCATGCAGAGGCGATTGTATCGCTGCACTTTAGCCCCAATGGCGTCCATTTGGCCAGCGGCAGTGGTGATACAACTGTGCGCCTCTGGGATCTCAACACAGAGACGCCGCACTACACCTGCAGCGGCCACAAACAGTGGGTGCTGTGCGTCGCCTGGGCACCGGATGGGAAGCGTCTGGCTAGCGCATGTAAGGCGGGCAATATTATCATTTGGGACCCGGAGACGGGTCAGCAGCAGGGCCGGACATTGACCGGCCACAAGAAGCACATCAATGGGCTCAGCTGGGAGCCTTATCATCAGAATCCCGAATGCCGCAAGCTGGCATCGGCGAGCAGCGACGGCGACTGCCGCATCTGGGATGTCAAGCTGGGTCAGTGTCTGCTCAACATTGCGGGGCACACGAATGCGGTTACGGCTGTGCGCTGGGGCGGCGCTGGCCTGATCTACACCTCATCCAAGGATCGCACGGTCAAGATGTGGCGCGCCGACGACGGCATTCTCTGCCGCACCTTCTCCGGCCATGCGCATTGGGTGAACAACATTGCACTCAGTACAGACTATGTGCTGCGCACGGGACCCTTCCAGCCTGCCAAGGATCGTCAGATGGCGCAGATCAGCGAACAGCGTGAGTGGCATCCACTTTACGCTCGTGTTTTAAACTAATCCGAATGTCTATATGCAGCCGAGGAGTTGCGTGCTGCTGCTCTGAAGCGCTTTCAGGCCGTTTGTCCGGATGAAGTGGAGTCCCTGGTGTCCTGCTCCGACGACAACACTTTGTACTTATGGCGCAACAATCAGAACAAATGCGTCAACCGTTTGACTGGCCATCAGAATGTGGTGAACGATGTCAAGTATTCGCCGGACGTTAAGCTCATCGCCTCCGCATCTTTTGACAAATCCGTGCGCCTTTGGCGCGCCCACGATGGTCAGTTCATAGCCACATTCCGCGGTCATGTGCAGGCTGTCTATACTCTGGCCTGGTCGGCCGATTCGCGTTTGATTGTCTCCGGCAGCAAGGACTCTACGCTGAAGGGTGGGTCTCCGCCATATTTTTGTGTACAGCTTGTGCTGATTGATTGATTGACCGCTTTTACTTGCTGACTGTCTCAATGATTAACTTAGGAGCTGACTATACGAGAAGCTGACAGAACCGATTGACTTACTGCTTGATTGATCAATCAACTGACCGGTGGTTGACTTAAGCTGACTGTTTGAGAAGCTGACAGAATTGACAAATAATTTCTGATTGATTGACCTACTAATTGATTGACACGATGATTGATTGACCGACTTGCCTATTGACTAAGTGAACAACTGATTGATCAGAATAATAAATCCAATCTCAATCAAATTGCAGTTTGGAGTGTGCAAAGCAAGAAGCTGGCGCAGGAGCTGCCTGGACATGCGGACGAAGTGTTTGCCGTAGACTGGGCGCCCGATGGCTCCCGTGTAGCGTCTGGCGGCAAAGACAAGGTGATAAAGCTGTAAGTTGCAAATGCAATTAACAACATGAATCGTATTCAACATCACATTTATTGCCATTCTTTCAGATGGGCCCATTGACAAGCATGCTATGTACATATAGAATCGATATATACTTATATATGTATTTAATTAAAGTTGGTACCCTGAATTTAAATGTGTCCGTCAGTCTGTCTAGATGCTCTGCCGCTGCAGCGTTTTCAGCGTCTGCTGTAGGCTGCTCTCGAAGGCCTGCGCATCGTGGAAATAGGTGGCCGGAACCGCGGACTCCGATAGCAGCGCCCGTTCGGCTGATACAAAGCCCGCCGCCACGCACTCATCCAGGCTGTACTGCTCCTTGAGCAGCGCCGTTATGAAGCCGGCACAGAAGCTGTCGCCCGCGCCGGACACATTGACGATGCTGTGCAGCTTGGGCGCCGCATAGAAGCGCGTGATGTGCCCACAGCTGGGCGAGAGTGCGAGCAGCTTGCTTGCATCGAATTCGGCATCGGAGCGAATGCTGAGCAGAACGCCGTGATCGCCCAGCGTGGCAATAATACAATTGAAATGACACTCGATGCGTTGTAGCAGCTGCTTGGCCTGCTCCAAAAGCTCTGAGCGCTGCACTTTTGTGTCCGGCTGCCAGTCGACAGGCTGCCCCGTGATGGTCTCCACAATGGTCTTCAGCTCGTGCATATTCGGCTTGAGCAGGCGTATGTGCTGCGTGAGGTCCGGGCGCAGCCTGAAAGGTTTGCCGGCTATGAACATGTCCGTCGGCTCAAAGAAGACGGGCACTTGGTAGCGCTGCGCCAGCTGCAGCAAGCTGGCCATCGCCTGCTCCGAGATGTTGCTATCCATCACAATAAGTGGCGCGGTGCGGAATAGGTCGGCACGTGCCGTCAGCACTTCGGGCGTAATGCTTCTATGCACCTCCATATCGCCCAGGATGAGCTTACAATCGCCGGACTGATCGAAGATCAGGGAGCAGAGGGATGTGGCGCACTTCTTATCTACGATAAGGCCACTTTGCAGCGCCGCCGGCATCAGTTGGCGCAGTATATGTCCCAGCTGATCGCCGCCAACGGCCGAAATTAGGTTCACATCGCCATACAGCTTATAGATGCCCTCGGCCACGTTGCGTCCAACGCCGCCGGCTGCCTGCTTGGTGACAGCCGAATAGGTGGCACCGTCCAGCTGCATTTGCCGCTGTTCGGTGACCTTAAAGCTTAAATCCAGTATGGAGGCGCCCACAACTAGGGGTTTCTTCAAGCTACTCTTGCCGATGGCAGGTGAACTCCGGCTGCCAGCTGCTAGCTCGCAGGCAATTTGTGCGGCCACGGCCGCATTGTTCCGGATCAGCGCAATGTTCGCCTGCAGACTGCGCCCCTGGGTTAGCTGTGAGATGTGGGCGAGCAGAAAAGGCGTGACCTCCTTGCCACTGATGCCCTGTGCCTGCGCCTCAGCATTGGCTGCCTGGATGGCCGCATCTATGTCAGATTTATTGGCGGCATATTCAGCTGGTATGGGCACGCCTATGAGCACGCCGGACTGCAGCTCCATCTGGCGCCAGGCGCGCAACAGCCGCGCCGCATGCGCAGCTGTGGGCAGATTGTAGGGCACCTTCGAGCCGCTGTCACGCGTATAGAAATCGGGAAACACACCGCCTGAACTCTCATAGCTGGCCACGCACACGCCCTGCGTCTCCAGATATTCGAGCGTGCGCGGTATATCCAATATAGACTTGACGCCGCTGCAGACCACAGCCACCGGCGTGCGACCCAGCTCGACCAGATCAGCGGACACGTCCAGCGTGATGTGACCCTCACGATGCACACCGCCAATGCCGCCCGTCGCAAAGATGGGGATGCCCACGCGATGTGCCACAATCATGGTAGCAGCTACCGTTGTGCCGCCACTTTGCTGCATCGCCACCACGTAGGGCAGATCACGGCGTGAGCATTTGATGACCTCCGAGCGTGGCTTTTGTGCCAGCTCCATGAGCTCCTCCTGCGTGAGGCCAACTTTGATGCAGCCATCAATGATACCAATGGTGGCTGGGATGGCGCCCTTGTTGCGCACCTCCTGCTCCACCTGCAGTGCTGTTTGCACATTCTCTGGCACGGGCATGCCATGCGTTATAATTGTCGACTCCAGAGCCACAACAGGATGTTTCTGTGCCAGGGCATGTCGTACATCTGGATGCACAACTATGTGCTGCCTGGTGGAAAATTTGCGGTTGCGAAGCACACGTGTGCCGTGGCTGAAACATTTCTTTAGAAGCATTTGGTTATACCGAAAATAATGGCACTGAAATGATCGTAATTTTAACTGTAATACCGGCTTTAGCTCAGTTTACTTTCATGCTGAAAATTGTCAACAAACTCTTTACACAAACATATTCTAATAAGAATAAGCACAACAAGTGTGTTTAACTGGCGGGCGGCAGCTGTTTTCGCACTATGCAACACTGGCGTTAATATTAAATTTGGTCTTTTTTATGTGCACGGTAAAAAACACATCGAGAGCTATTAAGCTAAGCTAAGAGTGAGTCACACAAATTTGTGTGTTTTTCCTTTCCATATGAAAACAATTTCATTATAATTGATTTATTATTTATTTATGTAAAACGTGCATTTAGAAATAGTTGTCTGGTCACACTTGATATCGATATTAAGCCGCCTATCGCTGTGTTCGATATATTTGCTTGCTTGCAATCCGCGCCATTTTGGCATCATTTTGCTTGCGATTTTGTTTAAAACAAATAGCAATGGATTTCAATCAGAGCGCCTACAACTTGGAGTTTTTCAATTTCACGCCGGAACAAATCTCCGCCGAACGTAGGTTGCATTTCACTAAACTAACAAAAACAGTCTTAAATTACGTATTTAATTTTCAGGTGACAATCTGGTGCAAACTCTCATCGGCCGAGCGGTTGAGACAACAATTCAGAAAATTGAAACGCCCGCCACATCCGCGTTGTTGAATCAGAAAAAGGACGCCGTCATTAACCTCATGTTTGAGGCGTGCCAGGCGAGACTGGATGGCCTCCGCGAGCTGGACAAAAGGAACTTTGAGGTGCCGCCGCATGTGCTGCAGATTAAGGACTTTGAGCTGGAGCAGCAGTTCTCCAGCGAGGAGGAGGAAGCAAAGACAGCCAAAGTGGAAGAGCTGAAGCTGCGCTACCGGCAGGTGAGTGCCAAATAAAGCCAATTCAAGCTCTGTCAAAACTCACTATTTGATACTCCGCTCCAGAACATGGCCATGCTGGCCGAGCTGGAGGCGGAGCAGGAAAAGTACACAGCCATTTTGCCGCTCGTGCAAAGAGAGCTGGAAATGCATCAGCAGATTTACGCAGCCTGCGCCAACTGTGACATTAAAAAGATGCACACTCTTGCAACGCTCATGGCAAAGGATCAGAAACTGTTGTAGGTCTAGGTAAATCTAGTTATTCTTTAAGTAATATCAAATGTATTCAATCCATAAGGCTAGCCATATATACTAAAGGCTCTCTTGAGCGGACAGCCAGGTTTTCGCTGTATTAGAAAAAAGTATGTTAATTAATAATAAAGCAAGTTTGTTAACCAATTTAGGGCAAGATATGTGCAGTGAGAGCTCACGTAGGCGGAGAGCTGGGGTGTCTAAGATATTACAAAAAACGTGGAAAACGTTGTTAATACATGTTATTAAGTAACAGGCAAACTCGTTAATACAAATGATTATGTATTTATTTAGTTTTTCTAATGCTTACATATATCTCTCTATGTCAATGATAAATGAACCGAGGTTTATGAAAGCTTTTCCATTTGGATTCAAAGAACATTGCAATTAGTCAAGTTGTCCGTGTCCCTTTCACTTTTCAATATCATTATTAGCAAATTTTATTCAGATTTAAAACATTTTTGTCTTGAGAAGTTGTCTGCTTAAGCAATGCATTCACTGTACTTTATATTTAGAATAAACTATATTTTCTCGAAAAAATGCGTCACTCACGCGAATTTAAGTACCCTCGCAGCGGCCATTATATTTCTGATAGGAAGCGTGTAGCGCATTAGGGAACATTTTATAAGTATTAAAATTCGTGCCGATGTATATGTCTATTTAAAACTATCTCTAAAATCCTTTGCATCTCTATATAATGATATATGTTATCATAGAAGCGATGTGTCCTAAATTATGTTTTTGTACAAACAGCTTTATGTATCATTATATATATTTTAGGATATCTTAAACAAACCTTGCATTTATTAGTTTAATCATGCTTCTATGGGAAGAGATGATTGAACAATGAATACCGAAATGATTTATTCAAGATTGAGTTCCTGTTTAAAGAGCCGATTTGTTTTTCACGATATCTTGAGCAAGCTTTCCACACACGGGGTTTACCATATATCTAACATAACATAAGAAACATCTTATTTATATTGAACTAGTACATTATCTTATCAATAATATTGCTACTATATCAGACAAGTCTTTAAAGGGAAACGGTCTAAGATTGAGTTCTCGAATAAAAACTGTTTTACTTTGGATAAAGGAAAATCAAATTAGGGTCTTACTTTCTTGCTAGCATATAAGTCAGATCTTGCCGTTCCATATTAGTTCCATATATTCCATTAAAGAAGAAATCTCTTAGGGTATTTAGGTTTCGGTTTATCGCATATTATGTACTTTAATGTTTAGCTATTCGCGAAACTATCTGACCACATTAATAGATTCGCGCAGAGCGAAAGCTTACGCTGCGTGCTAATGCTTTCTGGTGGCTATTTTTAATGCAGTGCGTCCGAGATGCGGTTGCGTGTTTCCAGTCAATAGTTCAACAGCCGTTGAGGATGCGAATGCGCTTGGCCTGCACGTGTGTGTGTGCGAGAATGTGTGTGCGTGTGTTCGAGTGTGTGTTTGGCACGATCGGAGCGCAGCCACACGCCGAGCTGAGATGCTGCACAGAACTCGGAAAACTAGAGATACTGCGTCTATTTATAACATTGCGCGACATTTTCTTGAATTTTCTTACTTTTATTTTTTTTTGCGTATTCAAAAACAAATATGCAAAAAGTGCCACAAAAATAAAGCAGGCGAGCGAGAGAGAGAGAGAGAGAGAGAAATGCGCGTTATTAATAAAAGCAGCGCTGCTTTGGTTGGGTCTGGCTGGTCGAATCGGATCGGATGGGATCGGTCTTTTGGTGTGGCTCGGTTTGGCCCGGCAGCTGCATTTATTCGCATTTGGCTCTTGCGTCCGTGGAGTTGCAGAGAAAAGCAAAGAAAAAGCTAAGAAATATCTGAGGTAATCTCTTGACATGCCGCCCGGCCATTTTATGTAACTAAATATGCATCTATATTATGTAGAGATTCGCCAGCATGAATGTGGAGAAGCTGAAGCGGCTGCAGGCGCAGGTGCGCATCGGTGGCAAGGGCACGCCCCGTCGCAAAAAGAAGGTCATGCATCAGACGGCGGCCACCGATGACAAGAAGCTGCAGAGCTCGCTCAAGAAGCTATCCGTTAGCACCATACCTGGCATTGAGGAGGTCAACATCATCAAGGATGACCTCACGGTCATACATTTCAATAATCCCAAGGCGCAGGCATCGCTCTCGGCCAATACGTTCGCCGTCACCGGCCATGGCGAGACGAAGAAGATTGTCGAAATGCTGCCGGAGATTCTGCCACAGCTGGGCCAGGAGACGGTCGTACAGTTGCGCATGTATGCCAACTCAATGTCGAATAATCAGAAGGCCACAGCCGACAGCGGCACAGCTGCAGCTCCGGCTGCCGAGGATGATGATGATGATGATGTGCCCGATCTGGTGGGCGACTTTGATGAGGTGGCCAAGCTGGAGGCGAACAAGCAGCAGGAACAAGCAGCTGCCGGCCAGGGCAAAGCGCAGCAGCCAAAGCCAGCCACAGAGAAGCCCAAGGAGGCCAAGAAAACCAACAAGGCAGACAACAAGGCGGACAAGCAGCAGCAGCAGCAGCCGTCCGGTAAACAGGAGCGCAAGAAGCAGCAGCCACAGCAGGAAGCCAATAAGACCAAGGCCAAGGATAAGCAGGACAGCAAGAAAGCCCAGGCTAAGACGCAAGAGAAGGTGGACAAGAAGAGCGAACCACAGAACAATAAAGAGGAACAGCCTGCAGCAGCTGCTGTGGATACTCAAAAGAAGGAAACCAAGAAGCCATCACTGGAGCCCAAAGCAGAGCAGCCCAAGCCGGTCGAGCCGCAGAGTCAAATCGCTGCGCCTGTCCCAATCCCTAGCCCAGCCGCAGCTGTGCAGGCAAAGACCCCACCTGCTGTGCAAACATTGGCACAAATCGTAGCCGCTGAGCCGACCAAGCCGGCCGAGCAAAAAGAGATCCCAGCCAGTGCACTGGCTGAGCAGAAGCCTGCTCCAGCGCCAGCCAAAGTGGAGCTTAAAGCTGAAGCAAGCGCTGCCAAGCAGGAGCAGAAAACAACCACAGCTGAGCCTGAGAAGAAACCGGAGCCCAAACCGAAGGAAGCCAGTCCACAACAGGCTACTCCGCCGTCAGCCAAACAGGCAGCACCAAAGCAAGTGACGCCCCCACCGGCAAAGCAGGTCACGCCACCAGCAGAAGCTAAAGCGCCAGTGGAGCAACTGAAGCCACAGCCAGCTGCAGCTACGGCTAAGCCGGCAGAGAAGAAACCAGAGGATGTTAAGGCGGCAGCACAACAGGCAGGTCCCAAGCAAGTGACGCCATCTACGGAGCAACAACAGAAACCCGCAACTCCTGCTCCAGCAGCAGCAGTACCACCAGTTGCTTCACCAGCAGCAGCAGTACCACCAGCTGCTTCACCAGAAGCAGCTCCAGCTGTAGCAGCAGCTGTAGCTCCAATTACACCACCAGCAGCAGGCCCGGGAGCAGCCCCAGCTCAGACTGCAGCTCCAATTACACCACCAGCAGCAGTTCTAGCTCCAACAGTAGCTCCGGCCCCAACTGCAGGTCCAGCTCCAGCAGCAGCTACAGCTCCAACAGCAGCTCCAGCTCTAATAACACCACCAGCTGCAGCTCCTGCTATAGCTGCTACTGCACAACCAGTTGCAGCTCAAGCTCAAATTGTGACACAACCAGCAGCTCCTGCTTCACCACCAGCAGTAACTCCTGCCGTAGCACCGCAAACCGGAGCTCCAACAGCAGCTCCCGCTGCAGCTCCAACAGCAGCTGCAACAACTGCCCCTGTTGCACCTTCAGCAGCAGCAGCTGCTTCAACACCAGCTTCTGCTAACCCACCAACAGCAGGTCCAACTCCTGCTGCATCAACAGCATCTGCTCCAGCACCAGCTCCTGCTGCACCAACAGCTGCAGCTGCAGCTCAAAAAACCGCAGCTGCTGCGAATGGCAAAAAACAGGAAGCAGCTCAAAAGTCCAAGCAGCCTAAGCCTGGCCAGACACAGCAACAAAACCAAAAGCAGCCACAACAGCCCAACAAACCACAGCAACAACAACAACAACAAAAGCAGACGGCAGCCAAGCCCGCAGTCGCATCCAAGCCTGAGACGGCAGCTGCCAAGCCGGCTGGATCGAAGCAGCCCGCAGGCACCCAGCCGCAGCAGCAGCAGCAGGGCAAGGGCAACAAGGCATCGCCACCAAAGCAGCAGCCAGCAGCTGCCAAATCTAATCCCCAGCAGCAGCAGCAAAAGGCTGGTGATGGCAAGCCCAAGACGCCGGCAAATACGCCCAATTCGCAGGCCTCGCCCAAGGCGTCGCCATCACCCAAAGCAGGCGCTTCGCCCAAGACGACCTCCCCCAAGGCGGGCACACCGACGACCCCCACAGCTGTCGGCCAGCCACAGCCAGCACCGGGCACTGGTGGCGCCAATTAAATATGATTTCAATGCATTTTCAAAAAGCAACGTTTGGCGCTGCAATCGCAGCCGAAGTATCGATAGCGTGCTGCAAATGCAACGCTGCAGTTTATCGATATTGCCGATACGATTTTTATTTTGTGACGATTACATTTTCTATTGAAAAATAAACAATTTAAAAAAGAACACCTTATGAGATGTTACCAAACTCAGCTCCTATTGCTGCTTGCGCGCCGCCGCCGGTTGCTCACCTTGCTCACCCTGCTCCGGATTTAGTTTCCACATGGCATAGTTCAGGGCGGTGGCAAATCCCAGCCAGGCCATATACGGCACAAACAAAAGCCCGGCCGTCTTGTTCACACGATAGAAGAGTACACCACATGCGCCGGCCGCCGCTGTTAGCGCCACAATGTCAATAAGCGCCTGTGGATGACACACCATAGATAAAAATCAGCACACTCGAAGGTCAACTATAATGTTTAAACTTACGCCCTTGATGTTATGCTTGCCAAAGAATATCGGTGTCCAGGCCCAGTTGAGCGCCAGCTGTGTGCCGTAGGCGATCAATGGCAATTGAGCATCGCCGCTGAAGCCGCCGCCGTCGCGCCACACCAGGTAAGAGCCATAGCCCATGCCGGCGTACAGTGATGTCCAAACGGGTGCAAACAGCCAGTTGGGTGGTCGGAACGAGGGAAAATTCAGATTCGAATACCAATTTTTGATGTGCCTGCGCGTCAATGCGCCATTAACAATGCCTCCCACATTCGGCAAGATGACAGCGCCCGCAATTCTCAATGCGGTTTTAGTTGCGGTTTCCTCAGACATTTTTCGTGCGTGCTGCTTTTCTAGTACTGCAATCTGAACTGTTTGCTGTAACTGTTTGTTTCCAGCCTACGAATGCGACGCAATAATGGAAAGCAGCTTGTTGCTTGCCGGTGACTTCATGTATCCAGTATGCGTGTGTGTGTTTGGGTGTGTGTGTGTGTGTGCATACATTTTATTGCTACTGCTCTCTGAGTGTATGTATATGTGGGTCTGTATGTATGGGTGTGTTTACAGATAGTGGACTTTTGCACTTAAACACTGTGCTACAAGATATCTGAAGTTTTAACCAATTTGTGGAAACATTAAATTGCAAAATATATAAATATATAATATATATATGTGTTTTATAATAACATATTTTGTATAGAATTGTTTGTTAACCGATGTTCATATATGTATTTTACATATAATAACACAAAAGTCTCTCCTCGATTTCAGACAAAGAGGGTTTTTAGAAATGTTCACACATTAATATATTTATATATATGAATTGTTCTCAAATACCTTTTGTGCTTTGTTCCCCAGTGTAATTTGTTTTTAAGCGATCATGTGCGTAGATTCAGAGAGGGGCGATCGACCGTAAATCTGATTAAGAGCATGCAATTAGATTTCTGATTGTGAAATAGTTGATTTTCAAATATATCTAGAATAATTCAACTAATTGCAATATGATTCAGCCAGGGCTGCAAGAAATGCCAGGAACATGGCTTATGGAGGAGCCATGGCAACGGCCAGCGGGATTTGTTTGGCCCAAAACGGAACATTGAAAGGATACCGAATATCAAGGGCTAGAAATGACGCTCTATTTTGATACGAAAATTGAGTTTCTGGACTCGGATGCAGTTAGCACAATCAGCAGCTGGCATCCCAATGAGCCACTGTTCGCGGTGGCCTCCTACAGCCAGGAGCGCGGCGGCAGCGTAACCATTTTTGCGGATACCGTGAGTTTTTGCCATGGAAAAAACTTCTTCTTTTATTACGCTACTTGCACATTTTCAGGGCGAACCGCAGCGGGATGTCACGTATCCGGTGCACGCCAGCTCGCAGGCAACGGCCTTGTGCTGGCATCCGGAGAAGGCGCTGCTGGCCACCGGTTGGGAGCATGGCGATATACACGTCTGGTTTGCCGGCCATAGGGAATTCGCCAGCGTTAGTGGACCCCACAAGGCGGCCATTGTGCTGCTGGAGTTCAGCGAACAGGGCGGCCGCATGGTCACGGCGGATGCCCTGGGCCTGGTCACCGGCTGGCGCTGCGATGGTCAATATCAGTTTCTGACCATGTTCTCGCATGATCTACGCGAGGCTCTGCTTCTGATCTGCTTTCGCCGCACCGTCGAGAGCGAGCTGCGCGAGGAGATGGCCAGTCTGGCCAAGGCAGCGGTCGCTGGCGATGAGAATGCGCTGGACACGCTCACCAATTGGCGGCCGCGCACGGCGGCGCGTGGACACTCGGGTGTCCGGGACAATCACTGCTTCTACGCGTGCACGCAGGGCGGCGTGGCCTACTACATCAATCAGGGCGGCAGCTGCAGCGAGGTGCTGAAGAGTGGACCTCAACAGCCGAGCATTCTGCAGATGCTCTGGCATCCCAAAAAGTGGGCACATCAACATGCTTCCCATTTGCTCAAGAATTAATGTGCTTAACATTTCTTCTAGGGATGCGGTCATTTGCCTGCTGGATGACTTGACCATCACGCTGTATTTGGTGGAGTCGACGGGTATCTTGACGGAACTGGAGCGTGTCAAGCTGAGTGGGCGCGGCGCGAACCAACGCGGCGCCATAGCCTGGGCGGGCAACAGCTTGGCCATCATTACGGGCGATCTTACCGTGCGCATCTGGGACATTGAACGCAGTGATAATTATCTGCTTAAAATGGATTTGCCCAGCTCCAGCCTGACCGCCAGCTCCTCCCTCAACAACAACAGCAACAGCAACAGCAATGCCTTCTTCAGCCACGAGACGAGTGTGGAGAGCAACAGCAACAACAATCTGCCACGCAAGGTGTCCAGGCACCTTCAGCTCAACTCCAACGAAATGTTCACCTGCCTCGCCTACAGCAACAGCAATCAGACCCTGTGCGCGGCCACCAATCTGGGCAATCTGTACACCTGGAAGCGCACGGTGAGCTGCTTTGTCAGCGCACCAGAGGATGCCTGGCAGCTGGGTAACATATCGTCGCTGGCGCGGCAGGGCGCCATCAAGAGCTGCTCGTGGGGCTACAATGAGCTGGCCAAGCCATGCATTTTGGTCAACTGTTTGTCGAGTGTGTTTATGTTAAAGGAGCAGCCCCTCCTGGCCAGCCACACGCGTAGCCTCTGGGCTGTGCAGTGCTCCGCAAAGTCTGTGCAGCTGACGCACTGCAGCGGACGCCAGTGTACGGTGCAGGCGGATTTTGCGGTAACTGCGCTGGCCCTAAACGACCTCAGCCTGGTCGTGAGCAACGGACGCTCCATATCCTCGTACAGTCTGCAGAAGATTGAGAAGAGCCTGGACGAGTTCGATGAAATACTGGAGGCCTCAGGCGCCGGTTCCAGTGCCTCGGTGAAGAGCTCGCCTGCATTGAATGTGCGGCTGATGCAAACCTTTGCCGCCGAGTGTCTGGCATTGTGCCTGCACAATCAGAACATATTTTGCCTGAGCGCCAGCGATATAGTTATCTATTCCGTGGGCGGCGTTGTGCTCCACCGGTTGCTGGGCAATGATATCGAGGGAAAAATCATTGGCATGGATCTAAACGGCTGCTATCTGTCCGTGTTCACCATGAACGGCTATGTCAAGGCGTACGATGTCAGCCGGCATGATCCGAAGCTACTATTCCCCAGCAAATCCGGGCACGAGATATTCGATGATTTTGGCGAGTTCATTTTGGTCAAGTGCAACAGCTTGGGCAGTCATCTGGCCTTGGTGATAGCCAACAGCAGCTTTCAGCCCTGCGCTGCCGTCTACTGCTGGGACTTTGAACGCAACAATCTCTTTGAGCACGACCTGGTCCAGCAGGAGCCTGAGAATGCCTCGCAGAACGGCGGCAAAACCAGCCTGGCTGTGCGCTTCTTCTGGGATACGGAAGAGCCCCGTCTGCTGGCCGTGGAGGTCAAGTCCATGGTGATGCTAGCGCAGAAGCCCAACGGCCGGCAGCAGAATCAGCAACCCTCACCCAGTCACTATGTGGAGTCGCAGGTGCTGGTTATGTTCTACTCGGAGAAGGGCGAGGGCAAACTGAATGTGCTCGAGTCGCAGGCGATGAGTGCCGGCGCCCAGCTGCTCAATCTGTGCGTGCCCAGCGTCGTCTGCCTGCAAGTGAACGCTGTGCAGGAGCAGCCGCTGAAGGATTTCGTGGATCTGCAGCAGTGCGATGCCAGCACCCGACGGCAGGTGCTCAATTTTAGCCTGCACGTGGCCGAAGGACATATGGACTTGGCCTTTCGCTGTGTGCGCTCCATACAGTCCAAGGTGATATGGACGAATCTGGCCAAGATGTGCGTGCACACCAACCGCCTGGACGTGGCCAAGGTGTGCCTTGGCCACTTGGAACAGGCACGCTCAGTGCGCGCTCTTCGCCAGGCCATCGAGGATGATGATCTTGAGCCGGAGGCCAAGGTCGCCGTGCTGGCCATTGAGCTGGGCATGATTGACGAGGCCAAGGAGTTGTATAAGCGCTGCAAGCGCCACGATCTGCTTAACAAGCTTCTGCAGGCCACCGGCCAGCTGGACGAGGCGCTCCAAGTGGCCGAAACGGAGGATCGCATCCATCTGAAGCACACGTATTACCAGAAGGCGCAGGCACTGCGCGAACGCGGCGACATCAAGGGCGCCCTGGAGTACTACGAAAAGACACAGAATCCCGTGCAGCATATCACACAGCTGCTGCTCGAGAATCCCATGGCCATGAAACGTTACATACAAACCACCAGCGATCCCAAAATGCTCAAGTGGTGGGGCCAATATGTGGAGAGCTCCGGCGACATGGATGCCGCGCTGGCCGTGTACAGCAAAGCTGATGATTGGTTCTCGCAGGTGAAGATACTCTGTTATCTGGGTAAGATCTCCAAAGCGGATGCCATAGCCAGACAGTCGGGCGATCGCGCCGCCTGTTATCATCTGGGCAGGCATTACGAGAACGTGGGCAAGTTCCAGGAGGCCATCATGTTCTATACGCGCGCCCAGACCTTCAGCAATGCCATACGCATCTGCAAGGAGAACGACTTCCAGGAGGAGCTCTGGACGGTGGCCAGCTCGTCGCGTAGCCGCGACAAGGCCATCGCGGCGGCCTACTTCGAAGAGTGCGGCAATTTTAAATATGCCGTCGAGCTGTACCATCGCGCCGGAATGCTCCACAAGGCGCTGGAAATGGCCTTTGAGTCACAGCAGCCAGAGATACTGGAGATTATTGCCACAGAGCTGAGCACCGAGTCGGATGCGGAACTGATCAATCGCTGTGCGGACTTCTTCGCCAGCATCGAGCAGCACCAAAAGGCCGTTCAATTGCTGGCCAAGACCAAGCATCTGGAGCGCGCTCTGGCTATTTGCCTGGAGAAGGGCGTGCCGGTCACCGAGGAGCTGGCCGATCTGCTGACGCCCAACAAGGCGGACTTCGATGAACCGACACGCATCGGCATCCTGGTGCAGCTGGGCGAGCTACTGCAGCAGCAGGGCGACTACCACAGCGCCACCAAAAAGTTCACCCAGGCCGGCGACAAGGTGCGCGCCATGAAATCGCTGCTCAAGTCCGGCAACACCGAGAAGATCATCTTCTTCGCGACGATGTCGCGACAGCGCGAGATCTACATCATGGCCGCCAACTATCTGCAGGCTCTAGACTGGCAGAGCGATGGCAACATCCTGAAGCACATCGTCAGCTTCTATGGCAAGGCGCAGGCCTACGATTCGCTGGCCAATTTTTATGCCATTTGCGCACAGATCGAGATCGAGGAGTATCAGGACTATGAGAAGGCGCTCACGGCCATGCAGGAGGCGTCCAAGTGCCTGGAGAAGCTCAGCCACGCCCAGCACGCCTACAATAATCTGCAGCGCACCGTCGCGGACGTCAAGAGCATACTGGAGATACAGCAGGCTCTGCGTGCCGGCGAAAATCAGGCCGTTATCAACGCCTGTCGCAGCATGTTGCGTAAGTTACCCGGGTTTGCACGGTCAAACTTTTTTCATTCATTCAGTTCTACTTATATAGCCATAGTTCAAAATTTCACACCCCCATAACTCGGTCAAATCTTATCCGATTTTCATGAGGTTTAGCTTTTTGTTCATCGTTTGGCCCCTAGATCAAACTAGAATTTAAATATGGCAACTTAATTTTTCGTCAAAATTCATGTAAATATGGTACCCTTAAGTATCCTATATAGCCATAGTTCAAAATTTCCCACCCCCATAACTCGGTCAAATCTTATCCGATTTTCATGAGGTTTAGCTTTTTGTTCATGGTTTGGCCCCTTAATCAATCTAGTATTTAAATCTGGCAACTTAATTTTTGGTCAAAATTCATGTAAATATGGTACCCTCAAATATCCTATATAGCAATAGTTCAAAATTTCACACCCCCATAACTCGGTCAAATCTTATCTGATTTTCATGAGGTTAAGCTTTTTGTTCATGGTTTGGGCCCTAAATCAATCTAGTATTTAAATCTGGCAACTTAATTTTTGGTCAAAATTCATGTAAATATGGTACCCTCAAATATCCTATATAGCCATAGTTCAAAACTTCACACCCCCATAACTCCGTCAAATCTTATCAGATATTCATGAGGTTTAGCTTTTTGTTCATGTTTTGACCTCTTAATCAATCTAGTATTTAAATATGGCAACTTAATTTTTGGTCAAAATTCATGTAAATATGGTACCCTCAAATATCCTACTTATAATATCCATAGTTCAAAATTTCACACCCCCGTAACTCCGTCAAATCTTATCAGATTTTCATGAGGTTTAGCTTTTTGTTCATAGTTTGGGCCCTAAATCAATCTAGTATTCAAATCTGACCACTTTATTTTTGGTCAAAATTCATGTAAATATGGTACCCTCAAATATCCTATATAGCCATAGTTCAAAATTTCACACCCCCATAACTCGGTCAAATCTTATCCGAATTTCATGAGGTTTAGCTTTTTGTTCATGTTTTGACCTCTTAATCAATCTAGTATTTAAATATGGCAACTTAATTTTTGGTCAAAATTCATGTAAATATGGTACCCTCAAATATCCTACTTATAATATCCATAGTTCAAAATTTCACACCCCCGTAACTCCGTCAAATCTTATCAGATTTTTATGAGGTTTAGCTTTTTGCTCATGGTTTGGGCCCTAAATCAATCTAGTATTTAAATCTGGCAACTTAATTTTTGGTCAAAATTCATGTAAATATGGTACCCTCAAATATCCTATATAGCCATAGTTCAAAATTTCACACCCCCATAACTCCGTCAAATCTTATCAGATTTTCATGAGGTTTAGCTTTTTGCTCATGGTTTGGGCCCTAAATCAATCTAGTATTTAAATCTGGCAACTTTATTTTTGGTCAAAATTCATGTAAATATGGTACCCTCAAATATCCTATATAGCCATAGTTCAAAACTTCACACCCCCATAACTCCGTCAAATCTTATCAGATATTCATGAGGTTTAGCTTTTTGTTCATGTTTTGACCTCTTAATCAATCTAGTATTTTAATCTGACAACTTTATTTTTGGTCAAAATTCATGTAAAGATGGTACCCTCAAATATCCTACTTATAATATAGCCATAGTTCAAAATTTCACACCCCCGTAACTCCGTCAAATCTTATCAGATTTTCATGGGGTTTAGATTTTTGTTCATGGTTTGGGCCCTAAATCAATCTAGTATTTAAATCTGGCAACTTTATTTTGGGTCAAAATTCATGTAAATATGGTACCCTCAAATATCCTACTTATAATATAGTCATAGTTCAAAATTTCACACCCCCGTAACTCCGTCAAATCTTATCCGATTTTCATGAGGTTTAGCTTTTTGTTCATAGTTTGGGCCCTAAATCAATCTAGTGTTCAAATCTGACCACTTTATTTTTGGTCAAAATTCATGTAAATATGGTACCCTCAAATATCCTATATAGCCATAGTTCAAAATTTCACACCCCCATAACTCGGTCAAATCTTATCCGATTTTCATGAGGTTAAGCTTTTTGTTCATGGTTTGGGCCCTAAATCAATCTAGTATTTAAATCTGGCAACTTAATTTTTGGTCAAAATTCATGTAAATATGGTACCCTCAAATATCCTATATAGCCATAGTTCAAAACTTCACACCCCCATAACTCCGTCAAATCTTATCAGATATTCATGAGGTTTAGCTTTTTGTTCATGTTTTGACCTCTTAATCAATCTAGTATTTAAATATGGCAACTTAATTTTTGGTCAAAATTCATGTAAATATGGTACCCTCAAATATCCTACTTATAATATCCATAGTTCAAAATTTCACACCCCCGTAACTCCGTCAAATCTTATCAGATTTTCATGAGGTTTAGCTTTTTGTTCATAGTTTGGGCCCTAAATCAATCTAGTATTCAAATCTGACCACTTTATTTTTGGTCAAAATTCATGTAAATATGGTACCCTCAAATATCCTATATAGCCATAGTTCAAAATTTCACACCCCCATAACTCGGTCAAATCTTATCCGAATTTCATGAGGTTTAGCTTTTTGTTCATGTTTTGACCTCTTAATCAATCTAGTATTTAAATATGGCAACTTAATTTTTGGTCAAAATTCATGTAAATATGGTACCCTCAAATATCCTACTTATAATATCCATAGTTCAAAATTTCACACCCCCGTAACTCCGTCAAATCTTATCAGATTTTCATGAGGTTTAGCTTTTTGCTCATGGTTTGGGCCCTAAATCAATCTAGTATTTAAATCTGGCAACTTAATTTTTGGTCAAAATTCATGTAAATATGGTACCCTCAAATATCCTATATAGCCATAGTTCAAAATTTTACACCCCCATAACTCCGTCAAATCTTATCAGATTTTCATGAGGTTTAGCTTTTTGCTCATGGTTTGGGCCCTAAATCAATCTAGTATTTAAATCTGGCAACTTTATTTTTGGTCAAAATTCATGTAAATATGGTACCCTCAAATATCCTATATAGCCATAGTTCAAAACTTCACACCCCCATAACTCCGTCAAATCTTATCAGATATTCATGAGGTTTAGCTTTTTGTTCATGTTTTGACCTCTTAATCAATCTAGTATTTTAATCTGACAACTTTATTTTTGGTCAAAATTCATGTAAAGATGGTACCCTCAAATATCCTACTTATAATATAGCCATAGTTCAAAATTTCACACCCCCGTAACTCCGTCAAATCTTATCAGATTTTCATGAGGTTTAGATTTTTGTTCATGGTTTGGGCCCTAAATCAATCTAGTATTTAAATCTGGCAACTTTATTTTGGGTCAAAATTCATGTAAATATGGTACCCTCAAATATCCTACTTATAATATAGTCATAGTTCAAAATTTCACACCCCCGTAACTCCGTCAAATCTTATCCGATTTTCATGAGGTTTAGCTTTTTGTTCATAGTTTGGGCCCTAAATCAATCTAGTGTTCAAATCTGACCACTTTATTTTTGGTCAAAATTCATGTAAATATGGTACCCTCAAATATCCTATATAGCCATAGTTCAAAATTTCACACCCCCATAACTCGGTCAAATCTTATCCGATTTTCATGAGGTTAAGCTTTTTGTTCATGGTTTGGGCCCTAAATCAATCTAGTATTTAAATCTGGCAACTTAATTTTTGGTCAAAATTCATGTAAATATGGTACCCTCAAATATCCTATATAGCCATAGTTCAAAACTTCACACCCCCATAACTCCGTCAAATCTTATCAGATATTCATGAGGTTTAGCTTTTTGTTCATGTTTTGACCTCTTAATCAATCTAGTATTTAAATATGGCAACTTAATTTTTGGTCAAAATTCATGTAAATATGGTACCCTCAAATATCCTACTTATAATATCCATAGTTCAAAATTTCACACCCCCGTAACTCCGTCAAATCTTATCAGATTTTCATGAGGTTTAGCTTTTTGTTCATAGTTTGGGCCCTAAATCAATCTAGTATTCAAATCTGACCACTTTATTTTTGGTCAAAATTCATGTAAATATGGTACCCTCAAATATCCTATATAGCCATAGTTCAAAATTTCACACCCCCATAACTCGGTCAAATCTTATCCGAATTTCATGAGGTTTAGCTTTTTGTTCATGTTTTGACCTCTTAATCAATCTAGTATTTAAATATGGCAACTTAATTTTTGGTCAAAATTCATGTAAATATGGTACCCTCAAATATCCTACTTATAATATCCATAGTTCAAAATTTCACACCCCCGTAACTCCGTCAAATCTTATCAGATTTTCATGAGGTTTAGCTTTTTGCTCATGGTTTGGGCCCTAAATCAATCTAGTATTTAAATCTGGCAACTTAATTTTTGGTCAAAATTCATGTAAATATGGTACCCTCAAATATCCTATATAGCCATAGTTCAAAACTTCACAACCCCATAACTCGGTCAAATCTTATCCGATTTTCATGAGGCTTAGCTTTTTGTTCATGGTTTGGGCCCTAAATCAATCTAGTATTTAAATCTGGCAACTTAATTTTTGGTCAAAATTCATGTAAATATGGTACCCTCAAATATCCTATATAGCCATAGTTCAAAATTTCACACCCCCATAACTCGGTCAAATCTTATCCGATTTTCATGAGACTTAGCTTTTTGTTCATGGTTTGGGCCCTAAATCAATCTAGTATTTAAATATGGCAACTTAATTTTTGGTCAAAATTCATGTAAATATGGTACCCTCAAATATCCTACTTATAATATAGCCATAGTTCAAAATTTCACACCCCCATAACTCCGTCAAATCTTATCAGATTTTCATGAGGTTTAGCTTTTTGCTCATGGTTTGGGCCCTAAATCAATCTAGTATTTAAATCTGGCAACTTTATTTTTGGTCAAAATTCATGTAAATATGGTACCCTCAAATATCCTATATAGCCATAGTTCAAAACTTCACACCCCCATAACTCCGTCAAATCTTATCAGATATTCATGAGGTTTAGCTTTTTGTTCATGTTTTGACCTCTTAATCAATCTAGTATTTTAATCTGACAACTTTATTTTTGGTCAAAATTCATGTAAAGATGGTACCCTCAAATATCCTACTTATAATATAGCCATAGTTCAAAATTTCACACCCCCGTAACTCCGTCAAATCTTATCAGATTTTCATGAGGTTTAGATTTTTGTTCATGGTTTGGGCCCTAAATCAATCTAGTATTTAAATCTGGCAACTTTATTTTGGGTCAAAATTCATGTAAATATGGTACCCTCAAATATCCCATATAGCCATAGTTCAAAATTTCACACCCCCATAACTCGGTCAAATCTTATCCGAATTTCATGAGGTTTAGCTTTTTGTTCATGTTTTGACCTCTTAATCAATCTAGTATTTAAATATGGTAACTTAATTTTTGGTCAAAATTCATGTAAATATGGTACCCTCAAATATCCTACTTATAATATCCATAGTTCAAAATTTCACACCCCCGTAACTCCGTCAAATCTTATCAGATTTTCATGAGGTTTAGCTTTTTGCTCATGGTTTGGGCCCTAAATCAATCTAGTATTTAAATCTGGCAACTTAATTTTTGGTCAAAATTCATGTAAATATGGTACCCTCAAATATCCTATATAGCCATAGTTCAAAACTTCACACCCCCATAACTCCGTCAAATCTTATCAGATATTCATGAGGTTTAGCTTTTTGTTCATGTTTTGACCTCTTAATCAATCTAGTATTTAAATCTGACAACTTTATTTTTGGTCAAAATTCATGTAAAGATGGTACCCTCAAATATCCTACTTATAATATAGTCATAGTTCAAAATTTCACACCCCCGTAACTCCGTCAAATCTTATCCGATTTTCATGAGGTTTAGCTTTTTGTTCATAGTTTGGGCCCTAAATCAATCTAGTATTCAAATCTGACCACTTTATTTTTGGTCAAAATTCATGTAAATATGGTACCCTCAAATATCCTATACAGCCATAGCTCAAAATTTCACACCGCCATAACTCGGTCAAATCTTATCCGATTTTCATGAGGCTTAGCTTTTTGTTCATGGTTTGGGCCCTAAATCAATCTAGTATTTAAATCTGGCAACTTAATTTTTGGTCAAAATTCATGTAAATATGGTACCCTCAAATATCCTATATAGCCATAGTTCAAAATTTCACACCCCCATAACTCGGTCAAATCTTATCCGAATTTCATGAGGTTTAGCTTTTTGTTCATGTTTTGACCTCTTAATCAATCTAGTATTTAAATCTGACAACTTTATTTTTGGTCAAAATTCATGTAAAAATGGTACCCTCAAATATCCTACTTATAATATAGTCATAGTTTAAAATTTCACACCCCCGTAACTCCGTCAAATCTTATCCGATTTTCATGAGGTTTAGCTTTTTGTTCATAGTTTGGGCCCTAAATCAATCTAGTATTCAAATCTGACCACTTTATTTTTGGTCAAAATTCATGTTAATATGGTACCCTCAAATATCCTATACAGCCATAGTTCAAAATTTCACACCCCCATAACTCGGTCAAATCTTATCCGATTTTCATGAGGCTTTGCTTTTTTTCATGGTTTGGGCCCAAAATCAATCTAGTATTTTAATCTGGCAACTTTATTTTGGGTCAAAATTCATGTAAATATGGTACCCTCAAATATCCTATATAGCCATAGTTCAAAACTTCACACCCCCATAACTCCGTCAAATCTTATCAGATATTCATGAGGTTTAGCTTTTTGTTCATGTTTTGACCTCTTAATCAATCTAGTATTTAAATATGGCAACTTAATTTTTGGTCAAAATTCATGTAAATATGGTACCCTCAAATATCCTACTTATAATATCCATAGTTCAAAATTTCACACCCCCGTAACTCCGTCAAATCTTATCAGATTTTCATGAGGTTTAGCTTTTTGCTCATGGTTTGGGCCCTAAATCAATCTAGTATTTAAATCTGGCAACTTAATTTTTGGTCAAAATTCATGTAAATATGGTACCCTCAAATATCCTATATAGCCATAGTTCAAAATTTTACACCCCCATAACTCCGTCAAATCTTATCAGATTTTCATGAGGTTTAGCTTTTTGCTCATGGTTTGGGCCCTAAATCAATCTAGTATTTAAATCTGGCAACTTTATTTTTGGTCAAAATTCATGTAAATATGGTACCCTCAAATATCCTATATAGCCATAGTTCAAAACTTCACACCCCCATAACTCCGTCAAATCTTATCAGATATTCATGAGGTTTAGCTTTTTGTTCATGTTTTGACCTCTTAATCAATCTAGTATTTTAATCTGACAACTTTATTTTTGGTCAAAATTCATGTAAATATGGTACCCTCAAATATCCTACTTTTAATATAGCCATAGTTCAAAATTTCACACCCCCGTAACTCCGTCAAATCTTATCCGATTTTCATGAGGTTTAGAATTTTGCTCATAGTTTGGACCCTAAATCAATCTAGTATTCAAATCTGGCAACTTAGTTTTTGGTCAAAATTCATGTAAATATGGTACCCTCAAATATCCTACTTTTAATATAGCCATAGTTCAAAATTTCACACCCCCGTAACTCCGTCAAATCTTATCCGATTTTCATGAGGTTTAGATTTTTGTTCATGGTTTGGGCCCTAAATCAATCTAGTATTTAAATCTGGCAACTTTATTTTGGGTCAAAATTCATGTAAATATGGTACCCTCAAATATCCTATATAGCCATAGTTCAAAACTTCACACCCCCATAACTCCGTCAAATCTTATCAGATATTCATGAGGTTTAGCTTTTTGTTCATGTTTTGACCTCTTAATCAATCTAGTATTTAAATCTGGCAACTTAATTTTTGGTCAAAATTCATGTAAAGATGGTACCCTCAAATATCCTACTTATAATATAGCCATAGTTCAAAATTTCACACCCCCATAACTAGGTCAAATCTTATCCGATTTTTATGAGGCTTACCTTTTTGTTCATGGTTTGGGCCCTAAATCAATCTAGTATTTAAATCTGGCAACTTAATGTTTGGTCAAAATTCTTGTAAATATGGTACACTCAAATATCCTAAATAGACATAGGTAAAAATTTTCCACCCCCATAACTCCGTCAAATCTTATCTGATTTTCATGAGGTTTAGGTTTTTGTTCATGGCTTGGCCCCTAAATCAATTTGGCATTTAAGTCAGATCTTTGAGAGCATTTATTTCATTCGTATGTCGGGCAAGGTTGGGGTATACCCGTTAATTCATATTTATATGAGGTTTTAATAGAATCATTTCGCTTTACAGTCAAGCCCGAGCAGCCGCCCATACGCCACTCGCACATACTGGCGATGCTGGTGCGTGCATTGGTCTATGCCAAACAGTATCCGGAGGCAGGGCGAGCACTTAAGGAGTTGGCCGTCAAGGATAACTCGTGGAGCGCATCGGGTTTGGTGGACAGGGCGCTGGTGCAGCGGGTTGCCAAGGAATGCGATTTGGATTTTGATCTGATTTGGAACTCGGGACGCCAAGTGACCGCCTCGACAGCAGGAACGGCAACAGCAGCCACCACAATATCAATGACAACAACGACAACAAACACAGCGAACAGCGATGACGAGGCAGATGACGAGGAAATCAGGGAAGAGCTGCACTGAACTGGCAACAAGTCAAAGCTCTCGACCAGCAATAGCTATGAGTAATGAGAGGAAGCTACGATAATCTATAAATCAAGCTATGACCAACCCACATCAAGTCAACTAAAAGGTATCTTTTATAGTTTCCCAAGAAATCAGCTAATATTATTTAAACCAAAGTTCACTTTCACGTCGGGTGAGGAAAATAGGTTAGATTGTGTGTGATTATATAGTCAGACTCAGCTTTGGAACGAGTTTTATCTTAAATAGCCAAAATAGAATGTGGTTATCAAAGTTATATACAATTTGGCCAATATAAAAGCATATCTATTGGGTTTGATAATACTTATCCGAAGCTTTTCAAATCGGAACTCACTTATTGACAGGATCCCAATCTTTATGATTTTGTAGTTCAATTTCGTCATATTGGTCAAAATGTTGAGTTTATCTCTACGAACACAGTCTCTGCTAGGAACCCCCCAATTTTTAACTAATCATTCCTATCACACCTATATGATATTGTAATCAGTTCCGGCAGGCTTTCACATACGTACTATGTAGTTCCCAGAGTAAAAAACCTAATACATAAATCAAGTTGCATTGATATTGCTTCACTGAGAGCTGAGTTCGCCTGGGTGAATCTGGGCATATGCTCAATATTGTAATAATTCAGAGATCTGCTCAAATGTATTACGCATAATGTAAGCAGAACAATAATAGACGCCACAAGATTATAATGAGTATCATGTAGAACAACTATAATTAAATTACGCTAGTCAAGTTATGAATGAGCAATCGGAATATCTAAAGATTACATAAAGCTTTCAGTCAATTCAAAACAAAAAACAAAAAACACAACAATACCTAAACAATCAGATTATGAATGAAAAGTCTTAGGTATAGTAAAAGCTCGCTATACAACAGGTCGACTATATTATATGTGTGTACGTATAGAAATCGTATCTCTCGTATCTCCCCCACAAAAAGCCAAAATAAATACAATATCTGCGGCGCCTGCTGAGCATGCTAGAAGAAGAAGAAGAAGAGAGAAGAGAAGGGCGCGTAGCGTAGTCTGCGGCATGAATCACATGTATTAAATGCGTCCTCAACTATGAAATCAGAATTGTTTCTCGGAATTACCAGCTCAATTCAAATAATTTCAATAGAGCAATCGTCTATTTGTTGCGCGTTCCCATCCAAAAAAAAAAAGTGAACACGAATTGTATACACAATGAAAAATGGAACTAGAAAGTATTCAAAACAAGTAGAAACTTTGGTAAAATGCGGTCAAGCTTTAAGTTGAGAGAGAACTTTTTGAAAAGCTCGAATTTAGGACTTGAATGCTACTCGAATTAATATATATTATGCTAACATTAGAATAATTCACGCTAATTTCAAATTTGTAAAGGTTCCTCAGTTTTATTTTAAACATTTTATAAAACATTAAGTCGAGTATGATTCACGCTTCAATGATGAGTATTCTAAACTTCATCATACCTGAGCTATGCTTCATTAAGGAATATGCTAGACTAAATCGTACCAAATTCATGCTTAAGTTAAGCAGATCGATTTATATTTCACATTATAGGTACAATAATTATTGGCATGAATGAAAGCTCGGGTTAATTGGAATTTAGACCTTTTTCTTTAGTGTAATAGTAGCAGTAGACGCCGCAGTCGCAGTCGCTGTCGCAGTCGACATCGACGTTGTCGTCGTATTTTGTGGGGCTCGGAAGCTTTGGTGCGCTCCGTATTTGGACGCGTAATGCGCGATTCCCATGAATGAGCCAGATCAAAAACAAGCGACGGCCAGTCGGTGTCTTCGATTCGCAAAGGCGACACCAACATGGTCCAAAAAATACAATTTCGAGCGCCGCCAAATCATAGCATTAGTCGCAAGAGTCATGCAGCTCTTCCAGGAATTATGACGAGCCGAAGTGAGAGCAGCGAGCGAATGAATGAATGAATTTATTTAACAGACAACCAAACGACCTTACCTACTCCCCCTTGCCCTCTCGCCCGGCCGCAGCTTTGCTCAAGCTGTAGTTGAGAAACCTGTGCCTGGGGAACTCCATGACACGTTCTCCAAATTTGTTTGTTTGTCTCCGCGTTGCTTGCGCTGCGAGTGACTCATCCAGCCGACGTCCACAACTAACGACGTCATATGCCGCCGCTGAGCGAGATAACGGAGTGCGACAGCAGAGAGCTTTTGTATATATTTTTTTTCATTTTCGCGATCCCCCTAGCGAATCGCATGCAAAAACCGGTTGGCCATGCGCGGCAGCCAGCTAATTGAGCAGCGGGCAGGCGCTTGTTTTTCTTTTCTTTTCTGTTTCTTTGAGAGAGCAGCAGCTGAGAGCGGCGATCTGCGAGCGAGAGCGTTAGCTCGAGCTTTTTTGACGCGTTGATTTCGTCACGACTTTATCGTGGTTCAATTTTGCCGATCATTAACTTGTCATACGCGAACCTGTGCGGATGCTTGTTCCGTTCAGCGATTAAAGTTCGCTACGTAACGGTTATTGCGATAGAATTTTCCACAGCGTTTTTCACTGTGCGAACTGGACTTTTATTTTAATTAAAAAATTTCCTAAGCACCTCGACTTAGGCGCGCGTGTTTGAAAAAAAAAAATAAAATAAAAATATAATATCGTGTGATTCACCGCGTTGCTGGTTTTTTGAATCCTAAATCCGTTTGCATGCGGACATTGGCGCGTGTGTTTTTCCAGCATCATGATCAGCTCAAAGAAAATTGTGATATATACTGAAAACTGCAGCTGAGTTCGTGGCAGTGTTCAAGTGCCTCAGTGTGTCGTCAGTGTCCTCCTATGGCCATTTTGAGCAGTTGTTACCAAAGTGTTAAGCCCAGCCTAGCCATAGATAGGTGGCCAGTGCAGGTGTCGAGCTTTAATGCCATGCACCAAGATGCCCGACCCAAAGGTGTCGGTGCATCCCCCAAAGCGACATCAACTGCAGCAGCGACAGCGCTGGATGCTTCGCCGGCGGCGGAAGAGGCAGCTGCTCGTCCGCGACGACGTCGACGTCGCTGCAGCAGCAGCACAAGCACAAGCACATCCTCCGATTCGGACTCGGATACCAGCAGCTGCTCCAGCAGTGACAGCAGCAGCTCCAGTGGCCGCAGCTCCCGCCTGCCCGCGCCGCTGCAATTACCCCTGCCGCTGGCCGCCAGCAACTCCCCGCCGTCACCTATTCCAGACCGGGACTCGGACACGGACAGCGAGCCAGGCACGCCGGTGGTGGTGCCGGTGGATCCGCATGCCTGGACCACAGAGGACATTGCCAGCTGGGTGAAGTGGCTGACGCGCAAATTCAAAATCGAACCGGAGCCGGACATCACCCGCTTTCCCAAAGATGGCAACGAGCTCTGCCAGCTGAGTCGCGCCGATTTCTGGGTCTGTGCCGGCTCCCGGCGCGGCGGCATACTCCTGGCCAAGCACTTCGCCTTCAGCCTGTACCATGCCACCGGCAGAGAGACGAGTCCCATGCTCAACGAGAACGAGCCAAGTAAGTAAAAGGCCCTAATCTATGGCCACATAAATCTGATGTGTGCGCCCAGATTGAGAGCTGCTTGTAATTGGCAGCACGTCGTATTCCCAGTGGCACGTTTAAGGTCAAGCAATCAACGGTCCAGTTCTGCTCCTAGTCGAGTGTGTGTGTCCTTCTTTGTGGTCTCGTTCGGGCATCCATTGAATCCTTTCAACTTAATGGCAACTGATTAAGATGTGAAGGCGCCGATAGAAACGTTACTTATGTCCTGCATTGATTGTTTTCCACAACCCCCCCACCCCAACCCAAAGAAATGCCCAGCTATTGATAAAGGCGTCAAATTAATGGCGGGTGGGTTTGGGCATTGGATGTGGGGCAGCCCCTGTGTAGACAAAGCCAAATCCAACTTCGACTCTTTTTATATACTATTCAATTATAGTCAGGCACTACAGTGATCTCTCGCTAATTAGAACATCGATTTTGGAACTAACCAAAAATAAATAAATTAAATAATGTGTTATCTAAATTAAAGCGCTTCTTACATGTGAAGCATCATCTTAGAAATATATCATAAAGCTTCTATGAGAAAAATCGTCCTTAATTCTTTTTTTGAATGATTTTAATCCTGTTTCAATAATGAAAAGTTTAAAAATTTCAGGTTTTGGCATATAATAATTTACTTAAACGATAAAATGTGCTCTCATATATTAATATTGCGATGACTTACTTATTAGGGTACCAGTATCATTAAAACTAGAAGAAATACTTTTGAAAATTACAATATTTATTATTAGAATAACACTATTTTTTTCTGAATGTGAAAAAATTAGGATCTTAGTCAAAATCTCTCTCTCTATACAAACAGTCTAAATAGTATAGTCTAAATCATTCAATCGGTCGATCCTTCTGGCCCTCGACGAATTTATTAATAATTAATATAATACAAAAAATAATAATAATAATAATAATAACAAACTGTTTAAGCTATAAAATCCGTGCCGTAAATTGGAGTTTTGCCCAAATTAAAATCAGCTCTGCAAATGAAGCGTTCTAATTAGCGAGTGCCCACTGTACTGACTATATATATATACAGTTACCTGTTCTCGCGGCATTCTTGAGTGGCTTTTACAACATTTTCGCCCCATAAACGTAAATCGCTTGCAAAACGCCTTCGCGCCGCGGCGCAAAGTATGCAACACTTTTTTTCCGCCCAACTCGAGAGTTATTAAGTTTGTGGTCGTGTAGAGGGAGGGATGTGTGTGTGTGTGGGTGTGTGTGTGTGTGGGTGTGTGTGTGTGTGGGTGTGTGTGTGTGTGGGTGTGTGTGTGTGTGGGTGTGTGTGTGTGTGGGTGTGTGTGTGTGTGGGTGTGTGTGTGTGTGGGTGTGTGTGTGTGTGGGTGTGTGTGTGTGTGGGTGTGTGTGTGTGTGTTGGGGGGTTTCAAGTGATGAACTTAATAATAAACGATGTAAATATGATAATTTCTCACAGGATGTGGCATCTAATAATAAAATCAAAATAATCCCTAGCAAGCGCCAAAAGTCGCAAAGTCAGAAAAGTCACAAAAGCCGGCAGCGAGGAGGAGTCCACAACTGACAACAGCTCCACGGGCGGTCAGCCTGGGGAGCAGGAGCAGGGGCTGGGGGCGGGCGGTCGTTCTTTGGAGCTGAGCTTGGGCGCTCAGGAAAATATTCAATTCGTTGCATCCTTCCTGAGATTTGGCCGCATCGCCTGGCGTATATGTTAAGGAGCGACTGCCGCCAATTTAATTGATTTGTTTTTTATGCCAAAGAGGATTACATGTTGTCGTGCCAGAGCTTATAGCTGCCCCAACCCCCCCTCCCTTCCCAGCCACGCCCACCTCTGCCCTGTGCCGAGGGTTGAGTGGCTGCACGTGGCCCTTTGTGAATCTGTGTGACTTTGCGACTTTTGGCCCGGTTCGCCGAGGCCCAGCGCTTACCACCAGCTGCGCAGGTGAGCTGCGCCTCGGCCACGCTCGTATACACACACACACAGACACACTCAGATATTCTTATATGTGTGTTTACGCTATCTATATGTAGAGCTGTTGATAAGGCGCATAGTTGACTGGGCGCCGCTTTGTTTGGCATCAGTTGCCACATGGAGTTAGCCCGAAACAGTTCGCACATTTTACACCGTGTCGCCGAAAAAAACAAAAAAAAAAAAATAACATAAATATAAATAATTATTTTTATAATTTTTAAGACGAATTAACACGAAGTGACCCAGTTGAAGGCAAAGCACATCAATTGTTAATTTTCTTGCCATATACAAATACGCGCAACAAGGCCAATTTTGGCATAAACTCAAAGCCCCAAAACAAAAACAAATATTTAAATTAAACACTCGCCTATTCCGGGAATATGTCGCTTTAAGGCAGCATCTTCTGTGATTACCCGTCGATCCCGTCGCGCCATGAGCGTAAGCGTTGATGTCGGCGTCATGTGGCGCCTCTCGGAGGATTTGAACCGGCGCTTTGGCCTGCGCATGCAGACCGCGCCGACGGCAACACATCATCCGCTCAATCCGCATCACACGGCCGTGCATCACTATCACCATCAGCACCATCATCATCCCGGACATGCTGGACATGCGGCTGGCCATGCCGCACACACGCACAGCTCCATGATCTTCAATGGTAAAGCATTCGGCATTTCCGGCATAGGAATAGAAATGCCTGAGCTCAATAGATGAAGTGCCGGCAAATTCCTAACTCTAGCGATCTTGCGATGTCTCTGTCTATCTAGCGCAGCACTTCTTCTCTCTCTCTCTCTCTCTCTCGCTATCTTCGCCTCTCTTGACCAATTAGTCACCTGGAATTATGTTGTTTTCGTGACTGCAGCCGACAACATTTGTGTAGGGGGAATTTTTTAAATACTCTGTAGCCCTCAAATATGGCATATCCATGGGCCTAATGCAGTTGGGCAATTGTGCAAATCATATATAATCTTGATCAGCTAGAATAGTCAAGGGGATTCGAATTGCAATTATCTAGCTCTATAAGAGTTATTGTTGCCTCTGACGTATCATGTGCAGAAAACACTCATCTATTTTTTTCATAACTTTTCAATTGGAACTTCTGCTCAATATCGATAAATATCGATACTCTTGATCAGCTAGAACAGTCGAGACGACCCAGCTTAGTTCTGCTTTTGTAGCAAGAACTATATATTTCAAATTTCAATTATTTATAAGAGCTGATATATTCTCTCGCATATTATATGCAAAAAAATCGAATCCATATTTTTTCCATAATTTCTTACTCTTACTCAAAATCGATATATATCGATACTCCGCCTAGGTCAGTTGTGCCTGTGTTGAGAACTATTTAAGATCTCAATATTTTAATTAAGATTCTCGCACAAACCTATCTAGAACCATTCACTTTCTGGGTTCCTTACCGCATTCCCACTCCCAATCGAAAATAAAAAGATATTGTTCTCATTTTTGGCATGTTCACACTTTTGAGTGTTACCTTTAAACCCTACAAGTCTTATAATGCTCGAAGAATAAACAAAGAAGTTATTTCAGAATAGAAGAAATTCCAGCTTGTGGCTAAGGAAAGGAAGAAGCACAGTGTATACAGAGTATTCTTTTGGATATATATGTTATATGCTGGGTATCTCTTAGTCGGTCAGCTGTTCCAGACTGAAGCACTCTGCCTAGCGCAGCCTTGAAGTCGACGGCACTTGGACACCTGCTGGAGAGACCCTGGTCTAGGCACGTCTTTTAATTGCGGGAATATCCCAAGTTTTTTGCCATATGCTCGCTCCGAGGATTTATGTGCGCTTGTTGTGGTTGACTTTCCGTGGAATCTGGTCGGCGGCTTATCGACTTTCATTTGGTTTGCATGCCACGTTACCAACGCCCCTTCGCCGTCTCCCTCCCCCCCACTCCTCCTCACTTCGTTGCAGCCATTGACCAGAAAATCTCGTTTTAATACGAGTTCATGTGCCGCTCTTTCTCTCCATCTACTCACGCGTTCTCTCAAGTGTGTGTGTGTGCTTGTGTGTATCTGTTAGCTGATTTGTCTGTTTGTCTCTGTTGCTTCTTTTAGATCCGTATCAGCTGCTGAACGCTGCCTCGCACCGATTGGTCGCCCAGGGCTCGGGCGGCCAGATACAGCTGTGGCAATTTCTGTTGGAGCTGCTCGCTGATTCGTCGAACGCCAACTGCATCAGCTGGGAGGGCCAATCGGGCGAATTCCGGCTTATCGATCCGGACGAGGTTGCCAAGCGCTGGGGCGAACGCAAGGCCAAGCCAAACATGAACTACGACAAGCTGAGCAGAGCTCTACGGTGAGTAGCAAATGGACCCAATACACAACTGGAGCAGCAATTCCGGCGCTCTGACTCATCCCCAAGCCCAAGCTAGACAAACTAGTTATATGCTGAAATCAGTTAAAGTAGTTGGAAGAATTTTCTGCAAATGCATGTAACAGGCTAAAGGTGGCACAGAAATACCCAGATACCAGAGATTTTATTGAGCAAGATCCAGCCATGTCCGTTCCAGCCATGTCCGATCCAGCCATGTCCGTATATCCATCCCTCCGTCTGTTTCACTGCAATCTCGAAAGCCTAAAAAGCAAGAGAGTGGAAACTTGAGCTCGATATTTTTGTCTATTTTACGCAGCTCAAGCTGTGTTTTCTATATGTCCTCTTAAGTGTAGGGTACGGAAGGTCAGAGGGAGATGTTTTTGCAAGCATAGAAGAAAGTTGGAATGTTAAGGCAGCTTGCAGCTGGAAGCAGGGTATCTGCTAGTCGTGCACTCCCGACTTGCACACGTTTACTTGCTTTCATTCTTTAAATTTATCTTTCTTTGTTCTTACTTATTTTTTTTAATATTTATTTATTTTTAGCTACTATTACGACAAGAATATCATGACCAAGGTGCATGGCAAGCGTTATGCGTACAAATTTGATTTTCACGGCCTGATGGCCGCTTGCCAGGCACAGGCGCAGGGCTGTGATCCGGCCAGCAGCATGATTAGTTCCTACAAGCATCATCATCATCATCATCATCATCATGCCGCCGCTGGCGGTGGCCCACATGCGCTGTCCACACAGCATTTGCCGCATCATTTGGCGCATCATTCCCATCATGGCCATCATTCGCATGTGCATCCGCATCAGCTGTTGCATCCACATGCCGCCGCCGCCGCCGCCGCCACAGCAGCGGCAGGAGCCGCATCAGAGCTCACATCGCCGGCATCGACCTGCTCCAGTCTGGGCTTTCCCTCGCCCTCGACAGCCTCCTCGTTGCCCTCGCCTGGTCAAGTGTCGTCGGCGTTTGCCGGGCCCGGCGCCTATGCAAACGCCCCAGCCGCCGCCGGCGCGATCTCCAGCCAGTCGTCAGATCCAAGGACCTCCAGCACGACCGGCACAGCCGCCACGGTGACCTATGAGCAGCGCACTCCGCCCAGCAGTGCATTTAATTGAAATGGCAACCCCAATTTGTCCCGGAGGGTTGCTTATGAGGAGGCGGGGGGCTGGGCTTGCGCAAGGGCCGCCCGCTGCGCACACTCGCCGTGTCTCCGTCTCGCTCTCCGGCCGCGACCAACCCGGTCCGGGCACTTGGGTCAAACTGTAAAAAGGTCATTTCGCCTAATGCCAGCTACTTTTGGTTTAATTGCGTAATTTCTCGTATGTGATAAACACGGAGCAATGCCACGGGCAGCATTGCCAATAAACAAAAACAGGCACAAAAACAAGAAGAAGCAATACAAGTGAAAGGTATCCGGGAACTAACCCGAGGGGGGTCTAATTTGTTACAACGTCTGTTAAATTTTGCTTATAAGCCTACATAATTTACTTTTAATGCGTGCGTCTATTTAAATAGAGCTCGCCACAAAATATTAAAACGTACTTAATTCTAAGTTCACATTCAAATTGGACATGAACAAAACAAACACACAAAAAATACACATATAGAAATTAACATACACTCCGAGAAAAAGAACAACAGTTATTTCTCAAATTTACTTAACGGCGAACCAGGGCTGCAAGCGTAAGCAAAACATTTTGCTAGTTCGGTTAACAGTTCGTGGCAATGCCTTGCACAAGAGTTTGGTTCGTGAACCTGGCTTACCGTGAACTGAAACCAGTTTTAGATTCAAGAGAACATGTAAGTGTTATACAACTACATATTTTTAATTTACCTAAATTCGCAATCGTATTTACAAATATTGTTGCAAAAAAAAAGAATGTACAAAACCTTGCAACCTTCATATATAATTTTGACTTTGATTCGTTTACCGATTCTGATTTGAGTTCGGTTCACTGACTAAAATTCCATTTTGCTTTTGACTGTGTGATGTGCAGCCCTGAAAAAAAGGGTTTTAAAGAGCGGCTTCTTGTTTTATACATAAAGTCTTTATCAAGCAGACGCTACGCATATTTTAGGTAAGCATTACTTTAAAACTTATGTATAAATTGTGTTTTATATATATATATAGTTTCTTCTTTTATATATTTACGTTTTATGGCACGTTCTGATTTGGCATTAATTTTGACGCAATTAAGCTTGATTCGAGAAGGTGCTTGCAAATGTTAAAAACAAAACGGTATGCGTTTAATAAAATTCTATGGAATACACATAATATTAGATGGAATAAACGATGGCCAGCACAATATAGACCAGGCTGAAGCCAATAAAACATAGTCGATCCACGGCGGTGGCCAGCAGCACCCAGTCGAACTGAAGGGCGCGCGCCGACGGCGTTTCGCTCGGATTGATGTCCAACGGGCTGGTCATCAGATCATCGGCATTATCATACACGTGCTCATCTAGTTCCTTGGCAACGCCATTGCCCTGCTGCGAGGCGGGCAACTCAGTCACGTTGATGAACTGCGAGAGTAGCAGCCAGTTGCCCAGTTTGCCGTGCAGCAGGCGCTTCACAAAGTCCGGCACGCGACGCTTGTGCTGGGCCGTGGCCAGATAGAGCACCACTACCTCAATAACAGTGGATATGCTAAGCAGCAGCAGGCTGGCGCTGTAGAAGACGACTATAAAAAAAGAGTAAGTGGCTCAACAATGTGTTTAGATAATAAAGCTCTGTCTCAAGTCAACCAACACGCGCTTCGAACACTCATATAGTTTCGGCTCGAGCTGTTGCGAATTGCACCCGGAGTTGGAGTCGACCGAAAATGCGTTTAAATTGAACAATTAAGCTTGAGCTGATCGAGCTCGCCGCAAAGTCGACTACTTCGTTTGTGTTCGAACCGGTTAGCTCGAACATGTTGTGGCTGACTCGAGCAGGTTTACCTCGAGCCGATTCGATTGAATAGCCGAATTCGAAGTAAGTGAATTGACAGACTCGAAACTCTATTCGGTAGGTTGTGGCGTAAAGCAAACTCACCCACGAGCGGCGTATTCCCGGCCAGCACCGGCAGCAGCTGAGCAAAGTACATGAGAAAGCCGGCAATCAATAGGATAAGTATGCCGTTGAGCATTATCTTCTCGCCCATCTGTGGCGGCAGCCAGAAGGTGGCCAGCGCCAGAAGCACAATGCACGTGGCTGGCGTATAGATGACGGCCGTGTACATGGAGGAGCGTCGCTGCGCTGTAAATATGAATTCCACATAGCTATAATAGTCCTGATGCACAAATTGTGTCCAGCCGCTGACGATTTCCCACTCCGTGGACTGCACCAGCTCCTCATAGTCGAGCGCCTTCTTGTTATGCGCGTTATATTCCGCCTGAAGGTGGCTTAACGACCAGGTGCCAATCTTCAGCTTGCACGTCTGCTCATCGTACGGCCAATTGACCATATTCAGATTGCAATAGGCCGTATAGACAGCCGGCGGTACCCAGAGGAAGCTGCCGTCGTTGGACAGTATCACCTGGGTGCTAACCAGATAGTTGACCACATCGGCGGCGGCATTGAACAGCGTTATCTGCGGTTTCCACACCTTATGGTCCGGTATATGCAGCTTGGTTATGTTATCGTACTGCAGTATATTCCAGGAGCGGTCATCATCCTGCCAGCGCTGCAATTAAACCCAACTGAATAAACATGTTTCTTTGTTTTCCACTCTTCACTCACGACGCTCAGCCAGCAATGGAGCGTGATCTTGCCGTTCAGCTCATCGATATCTATATAGTTCACCGAGAGGCCCAGACTTATGTTTGTCGGCCTGCCCTGCACAGTGGGCTCGGCGTTCACGTCGTAGTTGATGAACAGATTCATCTGCAGCCGATCGAGTGCACTGATATTGGCCGCCTTCGAGCCGCTTCCCTCTGCATCATCCTGTTGGGCTGTTCCGAAGGAGCATGTGATTAAATTTAAAGAAATAGTTTAGGCTGAGGCTCGGTTCGTACCCCATTAATTTTTAAAATGTAAATTAAACAACTCTTTTTGCAGTCTTACGATGTGTACTTACAACTGGCGCTTGGTACGGAAACGAGCAGGAATACCAGCAAGATCGTCAGCAGCCCACGACCGGAAATCAATGTCTTTATCTTGGTCGACATTGTTATTTCTCAAGTTCAGAGTGTGCGTTTTTTTTTGTTTTTTGTTTTTGGTTTAAGAATTTCAGTTATTCTAATTTAATGTGCGCCCATCGGTCTCTGGATAACGACTGAGCATCGACTCCAGAGCCAGCCGAGGGTTTCGCACATGGCTGCAGCCAGTGATAAAGCAAGCCTCGTCGCTGGCGTCGACAGTTGTGGCGAGCGGTATTATAAAAGATAACACAAGCGCTTACTTATGCAGTCAACTGTATGCAGCCAGCGTACGTACAGTGGATGTCGCAGACACCCACACACTATACTTGGCGACTAGCAATTCAATTGGATACATACATTCTAGCTCATACACATTCCAATCAGAGAAATTTAAATCGCAACGGTTTATCATTGGTGTTAACAGTGTGATAAGAGGCTGCACAGTGCCATTTTGAGTTTAACAGCACTAGCTAACATCTCATAAAAATAATTTTCCCCACGAACATTTTGCGCATGTAAGTTAAACCAAAATGCATATATATTTCCTGAGGCAGTAAATTATAAGATAATAAATTTAAATCTATGAATTTCGCTTAATATTAAAAAAAAATTTAAACAATTAGCTTATGTTTAACAATAAGTATCCGAAACGATAAATCACATGTTATCGGCCGTCTCTAGCGTTGACGTGTGCGTCGTTTGCACTTAGTGTTGTTGTTGTTGTTGTTGTGTGGCTGCGTGTCACAATTGTTACCCCTAAACCGCGAGCCAAACGATTTTTGTTAGAAATCGTCAACGGCAACTAAAATATAGAGTTAAAGTTAAGTGAGACAGGCAACGCATAACAACAGACATGGCGGAGGAAGTCATCGGCAGCGTTAAGAATGCAATCAAGGGCATATTGGAGAATGTGAATGGAAATGCGAATGCAAATGCAAAAAATGAATCCATTACAAACGAAAAGAAGCCATCGACGCCGGAAGGCATTGCCGTGGCGTATGGCAGCCTGGTCATAATGGCCATGTTGCCCATCATTTTCGGCTCCATACGCTCCGTTAAGTTGCATAAACTGAAAAAGGTGAGTACCTTTTGTTATGTCGCCCCCGATCGTTTTCACATTATGACTTTCTCCACAGTCGACAGGCGAGAAGGCAGACACAATGACCAAAAAGGATGCCATGTACTTTCCGTTGATCGCCTCTGTGGCGCTGTTTGGCCTGTACATGTTCTTCCAGATCTTTCAGAAAGTGCACATTAACTTGTTGCTAACCGGCTACTTCTTTGTGCTGGGCGTCATCGCGCTGGCCCATCTGCTCAGTCCGGTGATTAATTCGCTGATGCCGGCCGCCGTGCCAAAAGTACCATTCCATATACACTTCACCAAGGGTGAGGGTAAACACAAGGAGGACATCATCAACTACAAATTCTCCACGCATGACATTGTCTGCCTGATCATCTCGTCGATCATCGGCGTCTGGTATCTGCTGAAGAAGCACTGGATCGCCAACAACATGTTCGGTCTGGCGTTTGCCATCAACGGAGTCGAGATGCTGCATTTGAATAACTTTGTCACCGGTGTCATACTGCTGAGTGGATTGTTCTTCTATGATATCTTCTGGGTGTTTGGCACCAATGTCATGGTCACTGTGGCCAAGAGCTTCGAGGCACCCATCAAGCTAGTCTTTCCCCAGGACATACTCGACAACGGCCTCAACGCCTCGAACTTTGCCATGCTCGGCCTGGGCGACATTGTTATTCCCGGCATCTTTATTGCCCTGCTGCTGCGATTCGATGACAGCAAAAAGCGCAAGACGCGCATCTATTTCTACTCCACGTTAGCTGCCTATTTCATGGGTCTAATGGCCACGATATTCGTGATGCACGTCTTTAAGCATGCACAGCCGGCGCTGCTCTATCTGGTGCCCGCCTGCATGGGCACGCCCCTGCTGGTGGCCCTGATCCGCGGCGAGCTGAAGGTGCTCTTTGCGTGAGTCTTGCGCCCGCCTAGATTTTTCAAAGAGATTAACATGGTTTATTTGCTTGTCCACAGCTATGAAGATCATCCCGAGGAGAAGCCTGAGAAGAAGGAGAAAAAGGAGAAGGATGAGACAGGCAACAACAGCGGCAGCAGCAGCAGCAGCAAGAAAAAGGACTCCAAGAAGGCCAAATAATTCATTTAATGAATTCCAAGCGCCGTTTCCACCAGCAAGCAGCAGCCCGCGTACAAGTCTTCTATTTTTGGCTAGTAACAAGTAATAAGCACTACATTTTTTTAATTTTTATTTTGCGTTTTGTTTTCTTTCTTAAATTAGCTTCCATCTATGCTTAATGCAATTTACTGCAATCAATTTATAAAAGACGATTTTGACTATTAGGAAGTTAGGCATGTTCCTCCTTTCTGTTCGATTAGGTTTTATTAATAAGAGATCATTTTTTGCAAATCCAATCTTTTTATACCAAAATCAAAAGTCCATAATTCTATTTAAATGAACTGTAACAAAATTACATCTAAGAACAATAACAATAAATTGAAATATTCCAAATACTAAATGGATGGGGCATCCGGTGGGGCATTAGCACGCAGTGTGACCGAGCTCAACTAACTAGTTAAGGCGTACATTTTAAATCAAGACAAATCGCAATTATTTATACTTAAATAGCGATATGTAAAATTAATGTAAGCTAATTTCTCTGTTAGCAGCTTTCTTTAGTATTTTGTGGTATATTTATGGGTACTTGATGTGGCCACACTGTTTCCGAAGGTGGCGCGTATCGATATATCGAAATTTTCTGCCATCCCTAATGCAAGCCGAAGCCGTCAAATTGCGCTAATTTTGTGTAAAAAATTTTCAAGTTTGGTGGAAAAACTACAAAATTGAAAGTTATTTTAGCTGTCCACGGCAGCAAACGCAACACCAAGGTATGTACACGCATTGAAATGCATAGGTTTGCATTATTTTAGCGTTATAGCGAGCATATTTTTTTCCGTTCAGACGCAAGCAGCGTGTACAGCGTAGGTAGAAGCAGAGCGACAAAACGGAGAAACGGCAATAGTTTTCACAAAAGCAAAAAGCAACAAAAGGTGCAAAACACAAGATGTCTGGCATTGCTATAACACGTTTGGGCGAGGAGCGTAAGGCATGGCGAAAGGATCATCCGTTTGGGTTTGTGGCACGACCTGCCAAAAATCCCGATGGCACACTGAACCTCATGATTTGGGAGTGCGCCATTCCCGGCAAGAAATCGACACCCTGGGAAGGTGGCCTCTACAAGCTGCGCATGATCTTCAAGGATGATTATCCAACCTCGCCACCGAAATGCAAATTCGAACCGCCGCTATTCCATCCCAATGTCTATCCGTCGGGCACCGTCTGCCTGTCGCTGCTTGACGAGGAAAAGGATTGGCGTCCAGCCATTACCATCAAACAGATTCTGTTGGGCATACAGGATTTGCTTAACGAGCCCAATATTAAGGATCCTGCCCAAGCGGAGGCGTACACCATCTACTGTCAGAACCGGTTGGAGTACGAGAAGCGTGTCCGCGCTCAGGCCCGCGCCATGGCTGCCACCGAATAGATTTATAATTAAGCAGGCAGCAACAAATACCGCTACTCTCCATGAAAGCACACAGACACACACACCGACACAAAAACACACACACTTACATTCAAATCAACCTTTTCAATGGGCAGGCAGTCAAGTGATCATCCAACACACACACACACACACAGACAAAAACACACACACGAACACACACAAACATTTAGGAACGAGGCGTTTTCGGGAATGCCTTTTCTAATTACAAAAAAACATTTTAATAATTCTTAAGTTGATTTAAAATGATAAAAAGAAAAGAGAAAACAAAACAAAACAAAAGAAACAATATGAAGAATTCGGTTTGCACCAATTATAAATTATATATATACATATAAATTACTTACACTTAACAATTACATCATGTAGAATTCCTTATTTCACAGCACTGTAATTTTCGCATAATAATTGTGTTTCAATAAATTTATATGATATATGTATGTAATAATGTAAGTTCGCTTAAGCACATATATGTATATGTATGTATATATTTTCACTTTTGTCTTATACACAGCTGATGACGTCATCGCCCGCTTACGTGGCATATTGCCATGGCTTTCGGTTCTCGTTGAGTTGTTTCATTTGAATGCATTCAAAACGAAAAATGCTTAAGCGCACGCTTTTATCGGGAAGGGAGGTGAGTGTTTTTTATTTAAAGTAAATTAAAGTAAATTTATTATTGGCAGCATTAGAAGTGATTGCGTACTATATAGAAAAATCGCTATAACTCGGCCATATCCTTGCAGATATTCAAAGGACATGGTGCGTTAGGACCGTAAGGACCCTCCACATCGTTCTGCATCAAAATATTAGGGGGTCATCTAAGAATCCAGCACTTGGTGAAATTTCAGCCGAAAATTGCTCGAAAATGAGGTGAAAACAGAAAATCCTTAATATTTCGGAAAGTACACGGACGATCTTGATGTCCTTTGGCCAGTTGGTGTGGCTGGTCAACACAAATTATTTGCCACAGGACTCGTCAGGATACGACAGGATATGGCCGAGTTATAGCCTATTTTCTCTTGCAAAAATTGTCCTTAAAACTTCGCCATTTGAAGGACTATCGTCCTTTTTGTTGTATATTCTTAAATGGGACGGTGAGCACTACCTGCTGTCCAAAGGACATCCCGATAGTCCTTCAAATGCCAAAGTTAGAGCCGATTTTTTCGACTTTTGCCACTTTTGCGACTAAACCCCTATGAAATATTTTTGTGAAATTTTTTGTCGAATCCTGGAAATCCTTGAATGCCAATCGATAGTCCTGCTCCCCACGAGTTTAACAAGGTGTATCCTTCCAATATCCTTAAGGATTTGGCCGAGTTATGGCTAATTAAGAAATGTCCTTTTTTGGTAAAATAGCCATATCTCGGAAAGTAGAAGGACGATTTTGATGTCCTTTGGACGGTTGGTAGCCGTGATCAATACGAGTTGTTTGACACAGGACTCGTCAGGATACGCCATGTTCCAAAAATATTTTCCTTTACAGCCGCCCCCGACAGCAGCCACGCCCCTTTGTTGGTTTCTAGTTGACTAACATATCCTTGGTCATCTCATACCATCGATATAGTCCTTGGGAACCTAAAGGATCAGATCCCTGCAAAATCTGCATTGAAATGGTCCAAAAACATGCATGATTTTTCTTTCAGGTGCCCTTTTACATTGACTGCAGCTGCTGCTGTTGTTTAACAGCGGCCTTAAATCACTCAATTTACATTAACTGTTAGTTAACAGTGCTCATTTAAATTGAGTTACTTTTTGCCCCTTAATGCTATGCAACGAAAATTTTTTGCCCCTTAATGCTATGCAACGAAAATTTTTATTCAAAGAACTCGTCGACCTGCTGGGCATTTATGTTCGCCTGGTATTTTGGCAGATTTTAGGAAAAATCTCGGCAGCCAACGGATGCAAACAATCGTTCCTGAAATTGAAATTTGAGTTTGTAAATAAAAATAACGTGTTCTTTTTCAATTAAAACATTTAATTTAATCATTTTAAACATTTAAATTAAACAAGCAAATAATTACAAAAATTTTTTTTTTGTAAGGAAAATGAGTCATAACTCGGGAATGTCCTTGCAGATTTTCAAAGGACATGGTGCGTTAGGATCGTATAGACCCCCTGCATCGATCTGCATCATAAAAATATGGGGTCATCTAAGAATCACAGGACTTGTATTTTTACTTGTGAAATTTTTATTCCCGAAGTGCACGGAAATGGCCCGAAAACACAAATCCTTGAATATCTCCAAAACTACCAGGACGATCCTTATGAAATTTGGCCAGTTGGTAGTCCTGGTCAATACAATTTTTTTGACATAGGACTCGACAGGATACGCCAGGATATGACCGAGTTATGGCCTATTTTCTCTTGCGAAAATTGTCCTTAAAACTTCGCCATTTGAAGGACTATCGTCCTGTTTGTTGTATTTTCTTAAATGGGAGGTCGAGCACTATCTGCTGTCCAAAGGACATCCCGATAGTCCTTCAAATGGCCAAGTTAGTCCCGATTTTTTCGCTTTTTGGCAATTTTGCGACTAAACCCCTATGAAAAATTTTGGTGAAATTTTTTGTCGAATCCTGGAAATCCTTGAATGCCAATCGATAGTCCTGCTCCTCACGAGTTCAACAAGGTATATCATTCCATTATCCTTAAGGATTTGGCCGAGTTATGGCTAATTGAAAAATGTCCTTTTTAGAAAATTGGCCATATCTCCGAAAGTAGAAGGACGATTTTGATGTCCTTTGGACAGTTGATAGGTGTGATCAATAGGAGTTGTTTGACACAGGACTCGTCAGGATTGATAAGGATACAGCTAAGCTGTGGCCTTTCTAATATACAAAACAAATGTCCTTATATCCCGGCTCTTAATAGGACTTTCGTCCTTTTCTTTGTATATTCTGAATTGGCAGGATAAGCACAGTGTGCTCACCGAAGGACATCCGGATAGTCCTTCAATTGCCCGAGTTATCGCCGATTTTGTGATCATGTCCTTTTTAGAAAAATAGCCATAACTCGGGCTTATCCTTGCAGATTTTCAAAGGACATGGTGCGTTAGGATCGTAGGGACCAGCCGCATCGATCTGCATCAAAATATGGGGTCATCTAAGAATCCAGGACTTGATGAAATTGCAGGACACATTCTAAAAAAACAAAGCAGAACATTTTCGTTACATTTTGGTTTTGGGAAAATCGGATAATTAGGGTTATATTTTAATTGTTTATTTTGAATAAATTAATTACTTTTATTGTCGCACACTCTTATTAAATACGTATTACATATATATTATTTACGTAAATATATATATTTATATATATACATATATATATATATATATATATATATATATATAAATATGTATATATTTAAATTACACAGTTTTATTTGTTATATAATTTTGTGGGCTTTAGACGCGTCACGATGTACAATAATAATTATGCATATTATTGGATCTATTAGGATTATTTACCGCTTAACCCAAAATGGTTTTTGGGTAGGTTCTCAGAGAGAACTGGAGAGTGGGAGAGCATAGTCCCCAGGATAAACTCTAGATGCTATAGATATCGAAAACTTGTAGTTTCTTGCACTTCGATTGTGGTTTCTTCTCTAAGTGGTAAGCTTTGGCATGCATTATATGTCATGATTTCTACGGTACAGATACATATATAGTATATATCTTTATCTATATCTACATCTATATCTATCTAGGTGTGGTTGTCTTCATGTATGTATATCTATATTGCCTGGTTATGATTAATCTGGATCTATCTATCGGCGTGTCCTTGCAGGCGGCACAGCTGGAGATTCTCCGCAAATACTTTCGATATCCTGTCGGTGGTGTTGATGGTGCTGGTGGTTACGTTTTATGTGGTCGGGTTAGAAGCACTTGTAGTACCATTCCAGCTGCTTGCGCTGCAGCTCCCACATAAGCTGGCTCTCTCAAATGGCCGCCTCCTGCAGGTTCTCCTTGTTCTTCTGCAGTAGTAGCAGCTCGCTGGGCGACTGCAGCGGCAACATGGTGGTCGGTCCCCCAACACCACCACCGACGCCGCCGCCGCCACCGCCGATCAGCACTGTGGGACTGGGGCTGTCGTTGGCCTCCGGTCGATGCAGCTTGCTCTTGCAGTAGAATTGCTTGTGCGCCAGAAAGGTCTTCACATAGTTGAACGATATGTCGCAGGTGGAACAGTATTTCTTCATGGCCTCCGCAGCGCTCGGGCCGAGCGGCGAGTTGGCTATCGGCGGTGGCAGCGCGGGCGTCGACAGCTCCATGCCCATGTCCAGCGGCTCGGCCTTGATGTGCGTATGTGGCGTTCCAATCGGCGAATTGTTGTTCTCATGCACCAGACTTAGCGTGGCCACCGGCTGCTCCAAGGGCTCCGATTTGATGTGGAAGCTGCAAGAGATTAAGCAAGAGATCTTAAGTTGGCGCTAATTTGCATTTTAATTTTAGAAATTAATTCTATTTATAACCTCAACTCATTTTGAACTGTCATGGACTTAGAAATTAAGGAATCCAGGCATTTAGATTTTCATTTCTTTAATGCCCATCGATAGTACGGATCCTTATGAGTTCAAAATGGTATAAAATTCCATAATCGGACATTATTTAGCCGAGCTATATGCTTACCTGGCCTCGCGCTCGCCATTGACCAGGGCTACTTCGGGCAGGGCATGCGGATTGGCGTCAAGTTCGCGCGACTCAGGCGAAATGGAGGGCGAACTGAGGGCCACGTGCGGATGCAATAGCTTCATGTGGCGCAGCTGTGCGGGGCAAGCAATTCGTTAGAGTGACAGCTGCTTGGAATTAGGCTAAAGCGATGAATACTCACCACGTTGCCCTTGTAGGTGGAGGCATAGTTGCAGTGATCGCAGTTGAAGAGCTGGGCCGGATGCTGGTCGAGCTGCTCGACCTGTCCAGCCAGATCCAGGCTCAAGGCTGGCGGCGGTGGCTGCGCTGCTGCAGCTGCTGCTGCCTGTCCGGCTGCATCCTCCTCGAAGATGCAGGTCATGTAGTGCTCCTCGTTGACGTCGCTGGTCTTCTTGTCGAAATGGGTGCGTATGTGGGTGCGCATGCCGCGCAGCGTGTTGCCCTTGTACTGGCAGATGCTGCAGCGGAACGCCTTCACCGTGCCGTGCATCTCCATGTGCTTGCGTGCCAGCGCCGCGGTTGGGCTGATGACACCACAAACCGGACACTTGTTCACGCTGTTCGAACCGGCAACGACGGCGGGCGGCAGTTGGGGCGTGGCTGCCGGCAGAGGCGGCGGCGGTACAACGCAGGGCTGGCCCGGCTCATGCAGCGTCTTGCACTTGGCGCACTTCTCCTTAAGCTGGGGCACAGTTGCCGCCTCGGCGGGCGCCGCCGCGCTTGCTGCAGCTGCCCCGCCCTTGGGACAGTAATAGTTCTGATGGGCACGTAGATTATCCAGCGAGGTGTACTTGATGCCACAGGCGGCGCAGATGAGCTGCTGGTAGGCCACAGGCGTGGTCTCCGCGCCGCCCGGTCCGGCGCCTGGTCCACTGCGGTCCGCCGCCGCGGGCGGAGTCACCGCGCCGATCTTGGAATCAGCCTCGCCGGTCGGCTCCTGGTTGCGCGCGGAGCAATAGTGCTGCTTGTGGGCCAGATAGTTCTCGTACTTGCAGAAGACAATGTTGCACTCCTTGCACTTGGAGACGCCCTGCTTGACATAGATCTGCGGCTGTTGGCCGCCGGGCGCGACGCTATTGGCAGCGGCGCTGGCGGGAAAGCCCAGCTTGGTGGCCAGCTCGGCGCTGCTGCTGCTGCCCGCGACGGCTGCGGCGGCGGCAGCCGCCAGCTTGAGCGCCAGCTCGGGATTCGTTTTGGCCAGCAGCGATTCGGTTAGCGCAAAGTCCGCCGGCAGCATGGAGCGCAGTGGCGGTAGCTGGTCCAGCAGATGATGTGGCACGGCCACGCCCAGCGCCGGCGGCGACATGGAGGCAGCGCTGCCGGCGCCTGAGCTGCGCGGACTGATGGCGCGTCGCTTGGGCGAGGGACTCATCGAAGGGCTGCTGGGCAGCGAGGGCGCGCATACTATTTGCTCCGGCGTAACGCTGCCGCCGACTCCGCTCTCCAGATTCTCCTTGGCAGCGCCCAGTAGCGCCTCCTCGGCGTCCAGCAGCGCGGCGGAGCGCACCAGCCGTTGGCGCTGGAGCAGCGCGGCGATTGGCGAGCGGCGCAGCGACAGATCCAGCGGCGTAGTCTCACTGCGGGAGGGAGAGAGGGATTAATAGAGGAATTTAAGCAAAGCTTAGCCCGTTGCAACGTACCGTGTGCCGCCGGCTTCCTTACGCTTCGGCTCCGGCGGACTGCTCTTGGGTTCCGGCTCCATGCCGCTTGAACGCTCTGGCTCCTGTGCGGGCAGGCCCGGCTGCTGCTGGCTGCTGTTGCTGGCCATTGGATTGGGCGTGGCCGTGGGCGTGGCGTTGCCTGTGAGCGCATTGATATTGAGAGCCGTGGCCAGCGGCTTGAGGGCGCCATTGTCGAGCGTAAAGCACGTGGATTCCGGATTGACAATGCCCGACGTGGAGGTGGTGCTGCAAAAGGACAACAATTGGAGAGAGTTAAACGAAATCCATGTAGTGTTAAGCATAAGAAGAAAAAATGACGGTTCGAATCCACTTGTACGAATTTTTATTAATATTTTAGAATAGTTTTAAGCTCATTTCCAAGCTCATTGTGATAGTTTATTAAAGCATCACGCTGAAGTTCGAAGACATTCACACAAATTAGGTTCGATCTGATCAAACATGTTCGAGCTAATTGGTTCGAGCTTATCAGTTCTAACTAAACGGTCGATCAGCTTGAGGTTATACTTCAAAATAAACTGAATTTTTGATTAAGTCCAACGACTCAATTTTATTTCTGCAACTCCTTCGAACTCGAGCAGAACAGGTTTGAGTCTTGACTAATTGTTAAAGTATTCATTTCGTTACGTTTGACTCATTGCTGAGCTCTAGTTCGAACCCTGAACCTAAGCAGAAACAACTTTTACATTTGGATTTGCTGTCGAGGTTATATTTATCGAGCAATACTCACAGTGGACCCGGTATTAGGCTGGCTGCGCGTATGAGCGAGCAGGGCACTATAATGATGGGATTGGTGGGCAGCGCCAGAAAGGGCTGCGGCGGCGCCACCTGCAGCGAGGCGGCGGCAGCAGCTGCGGCCGCGGCAGCCGCGGCAGCAGCAGCAACCATTGCCGGCGTGGGCGTCTTGTTGCGCGTGCTCTGCGGACTGTGGGCGCCGCTGTGCTTGCCCGCTGCAGTGGCAGTTGGTGCTGGTGTTGCAACGGGAGGGCCTGTGCCGGCGCCAGATTCCGGCTTGGGCGTCAGTTGTCCGTCACTGCGCCGGGAACTGCAGTAGTGCTGCTTGTGGGCGCGGTAGGTCTTGATGTTGTTGAAGCGTATATCACAGTCGCTGCAGTAGCGATCGATTTGCTGTGGGGAATGCAAGGAGGTCATGTTAGCTATTGGGCTGGGCGTCAAGCAGTGTGTCAACCAACTCACTTGACTAGAGCTCTCCTCGAGCGCGCCGGCCGTAGCAACACCAGCAACTCCGCCGTTGGCCACCAGGCTGTTAAGGCTGGGCGCCGCCGGCGAGGTCTGGTGCATGCGCATGTGCCGATTGAGGGAGACCTTCTTGTCGGCGCTGTAGGAGCATTGCGTGCACGCGTATTGCTTGCCTGTGCGCGCCATTTTTGCTGGTGGCTCCGAGCCGGAGCTGCCGCCGCTGGAGCTGCTGTTGGCATTGCTGCCGGAGCCGGCGCCAGCTGCTGTGCCGGATGTTAGCTTGTCGCCGGCTGGCGTCTGCTCCTCATCGGCGTCCTTGTTGCGATGCGAGCAATAGTAGGCCTGGTGCGCCTCCAGCGTTGAGGGCGAGCTGAAGGCTATGCCGCAGGGCAGGCACATAAACCGCGCCGGCTTCAGCAGCGGCTCCACCAGGCTGCTGGCATCGGGCAGGCTCTGCTCGGGTTTGGCCAGCTGCGGCGGTGGCGCCAGCAGGCGTGGCTCGTGCGGATGTAGCTCCTTGGCGTCCGGCTTTAGAGCTGGATCGGAGGCAAGCAGCGCATTCAGACGCAGCTTGGGCAGCATTGTCGGTGGTGTGGGCGTTGCCGGCGGACTGGGCGTGGCTGCCGCTGAAGGCGGCGTCACCGGCGTATCAGCTCGCTCCAGCTTGGGCACCAGCTCGGGCGTGGGACTACGCGGCGGCGTCGTCGAGCTGTCGGCCACACTGGCCTCCTGCGCTGCCTGGACCTCCTCGACCATGTCCTGATCCATGTCTGTCTCCTCGGGCTGCTCGGAGGCGTTGCTAGTTTGGTTCTGGTTTTCGAGCTGCTCGTCCTCAAGCTGCTGCTGCGGCTGCTGTTTCTCCTCGCTAAGCTCGTGTGCGCCCAAATCTTTGGATTCTGTAAAGATGCAAAAACAAATAAATAATGGCGCCCAAAGTGTGAAATCAAGAGAATATATTTCAGGTTGTATAAGGCATGGATGTATGCACAAATAGGTATAGTTTTATTATTATTTATTTTATTTTTGATAAATGCGTCTAAGTTCCATGAGCCTGCGTCGAGCTAACTAAATAAAGGCTCCCAACGTAGGATTTCAAGAGAATATATTTAAAGTAATGTAAGGGATGGTTATGAAATGGAAAACTTTTTGGTTTGTTTAATAAGTGAGAAATCGATGGTTCAAAACTAGCAGCAATTTCTCATATTTATATTTGTTTATTACGCCACAAAGTGAGCAGCGAACGATGCCGGGTAACTTCTGCCCGTATCTGTATAAAAGACCAAACAGTTAACAAATTTGATTGCCCGGCTGCCAAGGCGAATTCCATGTATGCATCAAATGCGGCCAGAGGTTAGCAATTATTATCGAACAAATTGTCAGCGTTGCGAGAGTCGAGTCGAGTCGAGAGTCGAGTCGACAGGCAGCTGTGAAAACAATGCGACGTTGTCCCCAGTTGAGAGACTCGAGAGTCGCGAGGTTGTCGACCAGGTTGACCAAGCTGAGCAGGCCGGGCAGTCGAACTGGCGACCAATCGACCATTTGGCTTTAAACATTTATCCCGCGAACGCATCTCGAGGCTGTTGCGGATTACGTGGAAAAGCTGGCAACTGGAAAAGCCGCATGGTGGTCAGAGCTTGGCACAGTTGATGATTAGAGCACACGGCCAGGCATCTGACATCTGATTTGTATTTGTTTTGGCCACAAAATATTATAACGACCAGCGATGCGGCAGATAAGCGCAGCAGCAGCAGCAGCAGCAGTAACAGTCGCAGCAACAGTTGCGCGGCGGACAGCAACATGGCCAGCAAATAGATATGAAGGCGCCGATAAACCAGCCCACAGAGACCAGAGAGTCTGCTCGTGCGGGCCGCCAATGCGCGTTGACCTGTCAATTGTGGGCTATTGAAATGTCAGCGCAACTTGTTGCCCGCTTTGCCTGTTGCAACTGTAATTTGTTGCCGTTGTTGCTGTTGTTGTTGCTGTTGTTCGTTGCCAAGTTCGTCGCCTCAGTCTTTTGATTGCTGGGGACGCATTGACGCGCCGCGGTTGCGCCCACCGCACGTTCGCCCTAATTGCAGTGTCGATTTTCACGAATTCACACACAAATGCTGCACCACGTGAACAATCAGACAGCATCGCGCGTTTGCCATCTCTGCACCCAAAAAAAAAAAAGCTTCCATTGAAAGCGACCCATGGCCCCAGCTCAAGCTGGAGCTGCTCCGTCTCGACTCCTCTCTGGCCCGGCGCATTCCAGCGCATTCTGCTTATTTGTAAGATATTTATTGCCATCGATTGGCGCGCGATAAGCAGCACACGTAAAGTGTTTGCCGGTTACGGCGCAGACTACACGCCAGCAACAGCAGCAGCAACAACATCAACGGCAACAGCAGCAGCAGCAGCAGCAGCAACAGTTCCAGCTTCAGCTCCAGCTTCGCAGCTTATCCAGTTTGTGTATGGACAAAGCTTAGCCAGGCGCAAAGACGCTAACAATGGGCTCCAAAAGCTGCAGTTGCTGCCGGCAGCGACAGCTGCTGCTGCTGCTGTTGCTGAGGATTAGCTCTGCGCTGCGTCATTTTATTGTTGTTGCTGTTTCGTTTGTTTAGCCATTTCGTAAGGTCGTCTCGCGCACCTCAGTAATAGTTACACACACACACACACGCATACACACACACACAAACACACTCGCACTTGCAACGGCAACGCCAACAATTGTTTATCAATTTGTTAAATCAGCTGCGCCGCGCCGTTGCCGTTGCCGTCGCCGTTTGCGATCGATCGTCGCCGATAAGCGACACACACACATACACACACACACATACACATACACACATCTTGAGCGTTGGGGGGCAGCGGGTGCAGCCTGCTGTTGCTCTTTATCAGCCGGCAGATTATTGTTGCTGGTTTCTCACTTGGCCAGCATTGTTGCTGCCGCTGCTGCTGCTGCTGGTGGGCGTTGTATGCAGCCATAAACAATCGAGCAATTTGGCTTAAACCAGGGCCAGCCTGTGTGTGGAGTCGGGCTCGATTAAGGAGGGGGGACTGCTGGCAAGGGCAAGGCGACCCTTTGTTCATTTGTCGCTGGTGAATGCCGGACCGCCATCGCGGCTAATCGTTGCGAGCCGAAGGTCAGTTAACTCAACAACAAAAAAAGAAGAAAAGTAACAAGAAAGCTCCAAATGGGAAAGCACAACTAAAAGATATCCTGGGAACAGCAGAACATGTCTAGAAGAAAACAAATACACAAGCAGTTTAGAGTGAAGCTGTGCTTCCTGCTTCTACTTTTCCAATTTTGGTAGAAGCTAGATATCAAATTTTGTGTCTGTAGCTATAAAATTTTTGATGATATTGCGAAGCCAAGAGCAATTCGGCTGCTTAGGATATTCATAGCATAAGGGTGTAAAAGATGCCTTCTTCTATCTGTTACCAAGCTTAAACACAACTCAATATACCCCATTCAACGCACCAGTACAGGGTATATATATGGAAAAAAAACTTCAAAGTGTAGGTGAGCACCAAGCTCAAGCTTTTTTGGCCAGAGTTTTTTGGAATCTTGATCGCTGTGTGGCAAAGCAGACGCAGCCAGTCGCGCCTAGGCAGCTCCAGCTGCGACGCCAGTTGGTCTGGTCGCATCGGCCTGTTGCAAGCCAAGCTGGGCTGGGCTGTACTTGCAACAGTTGCATGGGGCGTATGCGTAATGCTTAGTTGGGGGCGTGCCAAGAGCCGCTCGCTTTGCATGGGGCGTGGGAGTGGAAGCAGGAGCAACTATTTTAGTTAGTTATAATTAAACAAATTTTCCCAGCGGGCTGCAGCCAAACAAATTGAAAAACGTGAGTCGGACAATCGGCCCTAAGTTGCCGAAGTTGCCGGCGTTGCCGGAGCTGCTGATAACGAAAATCTTCATTTTCGCGCGAAAATGTTGCCACCTTGTGGCAATCAACGCCATCGGCAGCCAGTGGGGACTCGGCTTCGCCAGCCTTCGGGGGCAGCTTATCAATTGTTATTAATCAACAACAAAAGGCAGCAAAAACAAATCCAGAGAGCGTTAAATTCAGCAATTCGCCAAATCGAAAAGAAGAAAAAAAAAAACGAGAAGAAAAGAAAAAAAGAATCGCGTTGCGAGCAACATTTCATTTCACACTTTGGCTCTTGACTACCCTGTGGCAGTTGAAAATAGTTAAAGGGTAGCTTAAGATACGGATGCTCTAATCTGCGACCTTTTATGGACAGAATGATATATGTCGGTATTTATGGAAATGAACAGTTGAGCCAAGTCTAGCTCGTCTGTTTCTCAGATCTTCGAGCAAAACCCAGCTGCAGCCAGAAAATGTTGTATTTAGTTGAAAAAAAGTTGGAAAACAGTTACAAGAAAGATTATAGACAAAAATAAAATTAACATTTAAGAGAACTAAAAACATTTGGCCCAATCTCACTAAAATCCGATAAAAAATGAATATAATTTTAATTCTTTTTCCTAAAAATTTATCTGGTGTCTGTGGCTTATATTATATTATTATAATTATCTTTATCTGAAATCTCGATTATATATTACATGATTATAATTATCTCATGTACTTTTTTTACTATTTGTATTCCTTTTCCTAAACATTTATCTGTATTTTCGGATTTATGTAATATTACTATAATTATCTTATGCCTTATCAAAACTTTTCTCAAATTCCATAAATTTAATTTTTCCACCTAATAGGGTATCTGCAAGTCGACTAATGCTAGCACACATACACGTTTTTTTTCGGCTGCAACTCTGGCTGCATCTTGAGCGTTAACCCGTGCAAATAATCAACATTCTCATATCTTGGGGGCTTCGCGCAGCTATTCGTGATTTACTCGCAGTTTTTTTTTGTGTTTTTTTTTTGTTTTGTTGTTGTTTTTTTTTCAGCACCTCCTTAGCGCTATGGGAAACGGCGGTCCAGTCAAATTCTTTGATCAGCGCGGATAAGCAATTTGGTTGCTCAGCTCTTCTCTATATATATATATATATATGTACTCTATACAATTGGCTGAGTAACCAAAAATTGGCACTTGCATATAAATTCAAAATGCAGGTATTTCGATTTATGGAAAATACCTTCAAGTAGTTGGACAGTTTGTGGATTTGTCGAGATCCGGAACAATCAGAACTAGAGTAACCTAACTAGTTTAAATCGATTTGTAATTATTTAAACTGTGTAAAAACATAACGCATCTAAATGCAAACTCAAACTGCGTCACATGCCAGCAAAATTCTAGCTCTTATGAACCAATTCTAAGGTCGAGCCGTTTGGTTTTTGAGTAGAGAACTTCCCCCCGTTCAGGGACGCCCAATTAGGGGCATCCAGTCACTTCTTGGCTGCGAATTTGTCTAGTAGACGAATCATACAGAGACTCGTATGAATGCGATCGCCGACTTCGACCTGGCTCTCAAAGTTCAGAGCTGGCGACTAATTTAGCGCACGGAGCGCGCGCGTCTCCAGGTAGATGTCACCAGGCGAGGTATCGACAACTGCTGCTCCGAAAAAGTGGGTAACCATGTACTCTATCTGCAATCTATGGAAGCCACAAAAACACAAAGTCTTCGGGCAGAGTGTAGGTTCGCGAAACGGAATCGGCGAAGGACTGCCTGGCCCGGCAATTCCTCGAAATCAAGCAAGTCTCAAACTCTTTTTGATGTCTTAATTAAAAAACGTGCAAATGATGCGACAGGGGCGGGGACGGGTACAGCGGGACGGATTGGAGGAGGCGAGAGGGCCTCTGTGTGCACCGAGTTCAATGTTGAGCAATTGATGCAACTGTTGAGATGTGTTGCTGCTGTTGCTGTTGCAGCTGTTGTTGTTGTTGTTGCTGTTGTTGTTGCCAGTGCGGCACGGCATGCTGATAAGGTAGCAGGGCTGGGAGGGAA